ATGTTGGCTAAGTTCTTTAGTTACTGTTTAATAGATGAACACAGATGGGAACATCTATCTTATCCCGCCGTGTCTTGTTGTCGTCGTCGTAGTAACATTGCTGAAGCATTCAAGGTATTTATAATGGATGTGTCCATATATGCTGATTGGTGTAAAAGCGGACAAGTATTACAAAAGGGATAAACCGACGATATTAACTACAAGGTTTCTAAATAGGCGTTACATAGTTTTAATTTTGTGACTTTATCTATACTAGGTATTAGTCGTAGGATGGACTTCGTTGTTAGAAAAACTAGTTGCCTTTAAAGGATTTATAATTTTCTTCAAGTTCGGGGAACAGCAGCCCTCGCAACAGCGGGGTATATAAGTTTACTGCAAACTTTATACTTTTTATTCTAACAACTTTATTTTTATGTTAACAACTTCTGTTTTCCTATTCTCTTATTCCTGTTCTTATTGTAATCAAATAGGGTTAAAATCGATTAGACTTGAAATACAGCCACTTTACTAGCTTGAAAATTAACCCCATGTAAAATAAAATAATATTTGTACTGTAGAAACAACAATTTGACTGGCCCGTTGGTCGAGTGGTTAGTGACCCTGACTGCTACGTCAGAGGTCGTGGGTTCGATTCCCACCTAGAACAAAAAATTGTATGATGAGCAAGGTCATTTGTTCTGTGTCTGGGTGTAATTTATCTATAACCTAAATGTATTTAGAAAAATATACTTATGTATGTTTGTCAGCAGTCCGGTTACCATAGTACAGGAATACTATGGTAACCGGTATACTCTGCCTAGTTTGGAATGAGACGGCCGTGTGTAAAATGTGTGAAAATATATTATTATAATACCAATAATTAAGTGACACAAATACATCAAGGCTAAGCATAGTTGTTCGTCGACCACGTAAATAGTAATAAAAGTCATCTAAAGTATTTCTGACCTGTTTCTGAAGTACATCTTGAACATGTAGCATAGGACGTTCATTTATTCAAGATCCTTTGTTTTGCCCCCGAACATCACGAATAGACATAAACACTTTTTTTTTCTAAAAAGCCTCTGTCTGCACTTCACCTTATAAATTTATGCAATGTCCTTATTTGCAGAGGAGACGCCATAGAATACAGCTGATATCAGCAATTCATGAACCTCACCCCTCTTTGAGAAAGTAGAAAATAGCTGTTTATTTGGAGCTTCATATTACTTATTGCCGAGGCGAACAATGTTCTATACTCAACCCTTCCTAACATACATTCAAAACAAGATCTTTTACATCTACAAGATAATAAAATAACTAAAAATAGTATTATTAGTACAAATGAAACTAAATTCACTGTTTCATAAATGCGTTGATAGAGTCTAAATTTACTTTTACTCATCATTATCTAAATATCTGCCCGTCATTTCAATGCTATTGTTTTATTATGAAAGAGATTTTTGTATGGGTTATATATATATAGTTGTTTCAAAATAAACAACTCTTTTAATAATAAAATCCTAAGTTTATTACATTCACTTATTCGGTAAAGTAATAAAGACTAATATGAATGGCTCACCTAGATAAATAGCACCCGCAAGACGACACACGAAGCCATAAGGAAAAAATAACATATAATTTCTCCCGAATCTTATGTTCCCACTGTAATAAAAAAGTGAGACTATATTCTACCCCGTTTCATACGAAATGCACACTCAACTCAACAAGATAGGTAACTGGATATGTCGAAAGAAACTGCTTAGGCTTCAATGTAATCGAAAAAGTTTCATACCTCATCCATGAAAATTTAATGCTGCTTAAGAAGCCTTACGAGATTACACCGATTTAATCCGAACCGTTACTATTGTGGTTTTAAAAGTCAAGGATATCCTTTCACTTTTAAATCATTTATAGCTTTTAAATACCTGTAACGTTTTGCTGTTGACATCTAATTTTATTGAAGATTATTAGCGCCATGCAAACCCCTGTTCAATGTATGACTAGGTCACCCTTCTTTCTAGTTTAAATTTTAACATGGTATTTAACATACGAAAAAAATCTGAAATAAAGTCGGTTTATTGGCTGCGAATTTTTCTCAATTTTTAAAAACAATAAATACGTATCTAGTTACGGTTTTTAATATGTGCCCAAACAAAGGTCAATGAAATTATTTTAATCATGTAATTGAAATCATTTGTTGCAAAATGTAAGGATACTTACCATCTCCTGATATTACTTCTAATACAAATATCAAACTTGCCACTGGCCTAAATTACGTAACACTTCCTTATCAAGCGAAATAACTTAATTTGGTTGGCAATTAATTTGTATAAAGTAAGCAATAAATCATTAAACAGATGACGGTATTCGCTACTCGCCAATTATGCGAAGAACAAAAAGGGGTTCTTAGCTATAAATCCGCTTTTGCTCCAGTTATGGGTGAGGGGAATTCGCTTGCTCAGACACGAGTCTTTAAGAAACTTCTTAAGCGATAAACTGTTACGGATGATTGTGTGAGAATTACTTTAATAAGTTCAACGACCTTTTTATCTCTTGTGCTTTAATTCCTCATATAAACATCTCTTTGTTTAAGTTTTACCTTCATAAAAGTTTAAGTACTTTATGCATCAAAACTAAAACCTGAAAAAATCTTATTTCAAAAAAAAATTTGAAATCGGCTAAGACTCTTAAATTCATAGATACAAACAATGGCAACAATGTGTTTCGTCAAATATTTAGTTAAAGGAAGTTAATCCATAATATGCCTGGACCGATCTACAACCGCCCGTTTCCAGGGGTTGAGGGGTTATGAGAAGAAAGGGCAAACAAACTCACGTCAAGGCCAGGCCAAGCAATCTGAACTAAATATAAGTGAAATTAAATTTAATATCAAAATAATTTAAATTCAGGCCTCGACTACTAATACGAGTATGAAGAATAGGCAGGCAATTTCTCAAGATATCAAGGTTGTTTTAAATTTTCTTATAGAATACGAGTCTACTTAAATTTGTGTCTAAAAAAATAATGAGATTTTTGTCTACTAGCTGATACCCGCAACTTCGTTTGCGTGGAAGTTGATAAGCGTTGCCTTAGTGGTGTAGTACGGTACGCGACTGGAGTCCATGAGGCCTGGGGTTCGATTCCCGTGCCGATCAAAATTTTATAGAGTTTTCTGAGAGGAAAGTTACTCCTTATTTAGACAGCTACCGGGTAGTAATAAATTATCAAAATCGATCCAACCGTTTTGAAGATTACCCGAAGCAAACAGACAGACAAATATAAAATATTTAAACTGGTTTTAAGGCATATGTATCGTGCAAATAACTGTATGAATATGAAAAAAAAACCTATTGTTTTTGATTATAAAGAACGTAACATTATATGGCCTAGAACAGACTTCCAATCGTGACGCTACGAAATGCTGTGCTTGCGCATTCCGTAGCCATCATACCCCATTATACAAAACCAGTTCCATACAACAGGTTGCTTCTATACATTGATAATGGGCTCCTATAAGACCTTCTCAAAGTCGTGACCTCATAGGACCTTGCCTTTAGCGTAGTCCCTATACGCATTTGAACAGAGCTATCTTTATTTATGTGTGTATACCTACACACTACATTTTATAATTATTAGATATAGAGATATGTGATTTACGATTGTATATGTGATATGAGCGTTTTACAGACCACCTACATAAAGATTGCCATCTTGATTACAATATGTGTATTGTACTCTTTCAGCTCTTATCACAAGGCATACGGCTATACAGATATTCCAGTTAGACAATTAAATTCTTATATCTACAACGGTGTAACTAAGAAAAAGAAGAAAATGCTTACGTTATACATATTACAAATATAAAAAGTACAAGTGTTTTTATAAAACTAAAAAGTAAAAAAAACATACATTCTATTTTCATAAAAAGGTATACAATAATGTGTTTAAAATGATACAATTTCACACATTTGTAATTATGAAAATACTTCATTTATTTATATTTCTGTGAGTTCATTAAACGCATTAAGTATAATAATATAATTAAATTAAAGAATTAGTCTGGTACATCCGATTAAAATCGATTAGATTTAAAATTACGATGGAATGATCGTTTTACTGCCATCAAAATATAACAGTAATTCGTATAATAATAAACTATCGTTTTAAAGGTATGAAATTATACTGTATAAAATGTAGTATGGGCAGAGTTACCCAGCCACCCACGTAGTTCCCTGTGCACTGCGCCCGCGTCTGTCCACAGGGAGCCAAGGCCGGTTCACAATGGCCCTCACTTTTGCAGTACTTATTGCGATCCGATACTATTCAATCTCACTATCTATTTTATATGGAACTAGTTTCCTGGGGCCATTTTCCTCACACATTCCGGATCACAAGAGTATTGAAGCCGTGATAATATCACGACTTTCACTTTAATGGATTGAGTTTGGAATTTAAGGCAGTTTTGTGTTTACTGTGTTGTGAAGCTATTATTTTAATAAAATTATCAAAGTATGCTTTACTTAATCATCGGAGTATTTATAAGACATGATGCGTTTTATTGAGATACTTATTTTAGACTTATATGTTATGTTTTGTTTAAGTTCTATAAACTTAAAATATAATAAATAGTGTGTTTTCTTAATTCAAAATATTTGTTATGTCGTGTCTAGGCACAAAAGCGCAGCAAACTTAAAATTTATGATATCTTAACGTTACCAAACTTTTGTATATGCCGCATACTTTAGTGTATTACATTAAAAATACTGAAACAATAAACATAACACAAGTAATAAGAAACTTTATAGAAATACAAAACAAGGTCAAGTGTGGAGAAAGTAACTTTTAATTGAATGCGTAGGTGTAAGATAAAACAAAAATTGAAGTTTACTCTCTACTGGAAAATACTCTTGATAACAAACCCAAACCATTCTCGTCTGACGTTTGAGTTTTATACATGAACACACACTTTTCGTACTTTCTGTGCCTATTATATTTAACTGTAATTTTAATTGTGTAATACAATGAAGGAAAATAAAATGATTAAAACTGCACAGTTAGGTAAGATTAAGAATTGTTTAAAGTCCACCAACCAATGTGGTGTGCTATGAATTAACCCGTCTCCTAATACTTAGCTAGTATAAAAAGTCCATAAAATATTGTTGCTGTATTGGTTGTTGTCGATAGCAGTAGATTTCTAGGACAAAAAGAAAACAAATATTACGTTGATTGGACAAATACACAAACACACTCTCTGATTCATAATTATACTACACTTTAAACCAAAATCAAAGATCGCAAAGAACGATTAAAAGTAAATAATGTTATTAAACATTGGGATACGAAATTAATTGCTGTTTAGATAACATCTTTTATATTAAGCGATTAAACAGTTACCAGTCCCAAACTCTAATTAAGACCGTACGTACGTATGCAAATATTTTAACTAAATTTGTTTATTACAGAATGATTCTAAGTTATAGGTAATATTAGAACAACTAAGTACTACCTTATTGGTATTGTGCACTAAGACGCTATGAGTCAAAGTTCACGTTTGTCGATGGTAAGTACGTTTGGAATCTTAGCCCTATTTGCAATAAAATTTAATTGCATTACATTGAGTACAGGTTAAGACCATTAGACTATCTGTTATTCGTAACTGGAATGTGAGACTCTGAGCTGAATAAAGTTATTCTAACCTTTTGTTTATTGTTTTGCGACAATATATTCTAAAGTACCTAATCTATGTCAAGAATACGGTTGTACAGGATAGTTAATGTTATAATAAAAACAAAATGTACGGTCCCTACGACCTATTACATATGTGTTCTTTGATTCCATCCTTTATATTGATTACTTCATTTATTCCTATTGTATCGTACAATACCGCTTTGTAATCTAGCAATTCATCCTGATATCAATAAATCGTATTGTCTATTTTCTCCTATCGATAATTAGAAACTAAAATAGGCATAGTCACGTCACGATCTCAGAATCTGAACACGATTCCATACAACGGCAATAACTTACTTCTGTCCATATCCGCTATTGAATCGCTTATTTTGTCTGTATTAAGCTTTCGTAAGTATAAAATACTTCAAAGTTTTGATAATAGGTATTCCCTTACCAAATAAGATTATTACAATGCACACAATACATGCCAACAATGTAAAAAACAATGGCGAATGTTGTTTCTTTAATAGTAACAGATATATATTGGCACTGTTAAACTGAACGCCAAGAATGTCACGCCTGGTGGAACATTCTTGGCTGATGGGATGACCAATCTCAGATCTCGGTTTTAATCAAATGTATTCAATGTATGAACTTTATCTAAAATTTACGTAATTGTATTTAAAACTTAAATTATAATAGCCTAAAACTCAAAATTTAAGCAATTTCAAAAATTGAGGAGGTTCTCAATTCAACAGCTTATACAGCTCTAAATTAAAAAATTACATATTAATAATACCAAACATTAAAAATAAATCATGATATAGACTATTAAAATTTAAGTGTTATACTCTTGACTTTTTTTTAATTTAACTAGTCAAAGTGTGAAGTTCAAAGGCCATAAAATGGCCGATATCATTTGCAAATAATTGACTGCACGGATGGCGTAGTGGTTTAAGCGGTCGCCACGCTGCTTCCTACTGTGGGTTCAAACCCCACATGGGACGACACTTTGTGTGACCCACAAATTGTTGTTCTGAGTCTGGGTGTTCTTTGTGTCCGTTTCATGTATGTTTGTAAAGTCCTCCGCGACACAGGATAAATTCCTAATGCGGGCGTTGTCTTTATAATAAAAAAAAAACACAAAAAATCTTTATGCGGCATTCTAAAAAGAAGTGTAGGTATGAGTAAAATATGAAAATAAACTACATATTCGAAACATTTATTCCTAAGATGCCGACGTTTATTCTAATGGTCTGATAAGGCGCAAATGTGGCAAGGTGTGGGGTAATCAAGAAAAGGCAAAATTAACTTTTATGAAGCGCAGTGAGGCAGTAACATTAATCCCGATAACCTAGGGAGCGGACGGTTGAATTATGGCGTATTATTTGTCTTCTTCGCCTAATGTTCAAACTTGAGGCGAAGTCTTACATTCGTTAAAACACCGTCATTTCATGATTGGTTTTATTGCATTGCTATTAGATGTATATCCATTTCCTATACGAATATATGAGATATTAGACGAGATATCGAAAACTTGTTTAGGTAAAATACTTAAGAATTACGTCAAAAATCTTCGGTAAACTTTGGAAACGTCGAGGTAATTAAATTACGGGATGTTTTATAGAGTGCACCTCTGTCATTAATACGAATTATTTTAATTAATTTATAGTAACGTGTTTTAGGGTTCCCTGTGTCAAAAGAAAATCCAGAACCCTTGCAGGATCACTACGTTGTGCGTCTGTCTGCCAGTATGTTTGTCTATCAAGACTCTTTTCTCTTTACGGACTGCTTAGAGGCAACGATTGAAACCAATATCTAATACCGATGTCTGCAGTCCCTTAAAGATCAAAGCTCTAAGTCAAAGCAATCAAATGACACGATCACTTTAGCTTATATTTTAACACTGTGCATGTAAATCATGGCCTAAATGCTTATTGCCCTAAAATCATGATTTTCTCTACAAATTATCTATTCTTTTATTATCTGGCTAATATATTTGAGCATCGATGCCCAAAAATAAAAAAATGGTCAAAAACAGTATTTTGATACATCCGTATCAATCGATATATGTTTGTACTAAACCGTCACTGTGCTAATCAGCCTCACGTCTCCATTTTTTTATTAAGTCTGTTTGCATCAAGTTTATGTAAATAAAAGTTAATTCTTTTTCTCTTTTGTTACAGCTGAGGGGAGCCTGTCCGATTTTGCGTCGCGCAAAATCCAATACACGGCGAATCAACCCCTTAAAAAAGGTCTCTTTACACCCGACACGAGGTAAGCTGAAACTTTCTAACTTAATAACAATAATGGACGTTAATAAACGTTGATGAAACCACCAGTAACTTACATCTAATTTTCAATTAGGGCGTTATAAACTTACCGAATTGTACCAGGTGTTTCAAACGAATGCGTAACTAATATTGCAGGAATCCAATTGAGGAAAACCATGCAGTATGACTACATTTAAGAATACATAGGTATATTACCAAATTTTTAATAGTACCAAATATTCAAAAATCACACTAAATGAACTTACCTACATATATTGTCATTTTTTTTAATAGTACCAACTATTCAAAAGTTTCTCAATAAATGTATGTTCGTTCTAAATTATGTACGTAATTTGGCCCCAATATATATACACAGATATCATTCACACTTTTTTTTTTAAATCAGGCTAATCTTAAAACCCCGAAGTCCAGCCGCCTTGATAGATTTATTAGGTAATAAATAAATGATAATTTGTTCAGTATGTATTACGAGTATTTGAGCCACGTCGAAACTGGTTGGAAGACGATGGCACGCAAATTTTTACCAATTTATTCATTTTTCAAAATCTGAACTGCTAAGGAAACGGGGAAGTTTGCGACTTTGCGTTAAAATTCTTACGGAATTGCCTCGAAGTTTATGTGTACAATTGTATATGCATTAAAGTGACTATTTTCTGGTTTCTATTAAATATTAATACAAATATTAATATTAATACAGTAAATAATTTTTTTTTGGAGATGGATATATGGAGATTAGAAACCATAAAATCAATTTTAACTAAATACAAATAAAACGTTGCTCTTGGCAATGCAGAAATATTCCACATCTAGATTGTACTCTTGTAAGATGAATATCTAGAATATTTTTATAAACATTCAACAAGAGTATTTATATCGAGCCATTTTTTTCAGACCATCAAGTTTACGCAAGCTGTACGAAAAGGCTACAACAGACCGCCTCTCCACCTCTATCCTCGACCAACTAAGAAAGGACTCCCAACATTCCCCATATTTGTTATGCACTCCAGTCCTTGGTACAAAACGAAGACGTATCTATCAGAAAGTGGACGTGGAAATCGAAACGCACATTGTAAGTCAATCACTTTCATTATTCATTGAAGTGAAATGGAGAAATTTTACTTAAATAAAAGGACAGATTAACACGGTACAGGCTAATGTTTGATGCTTCAAGTTATCTTGTTAACTACATAAAAAAAAAAAACTAGATTTTTGGGGACATCCTTGTCAACTTCTAAATAACACTACTTTTACAATTTTAAAGTAAAGTCAAAGTGTCCTAAGTGAACATCAATAAAGGTCAGAACTGTATAAATTACCGTTTAAATGATATCGCTATAAAATGATTTATGTTATCGACTTATTAACCCTGCCCTGCCAAAGATCTTACGACAGTCCTTTGTATTGAAAGAATGGATCACAGTTGTTACACAGAATGCGAGACTTGTAACATGTTTTATTTTAAATTAATAAACCTTCACAATTGCTTCTTTAAGCATTCGTCTATCACAGCAATTAGACAAAAACTCTATATAACAAATATTATCATTTTTTTTAAACAGACAATGATAACATTGTCCTCCATACATCCACCCATTTTACCCTTTATCTTCTTTGTGAAGATTTATGTCATATACGGAAGAATCAAACGATACATCCACTTTTTTTCAGCCGTCAGTCGTAGAGCAGCTACGAAAATGGACATCTAAAGAAGCCATCGGTGACGTTACTGCGTTGCCAGACTCGTCTATGAGGATAGCCAACAGCGTCACTCTAACACCTGACGAACTGTCAGAATGCGGGTCCGGGGATGATGAGCCTATTGACCACAGGCTGCCCAGCCCAGATGAACAACTGAGGATCATCGCTTCCAAGTAAGGATCTGTGTTTAGAGGGGGATTAGAAGTTTCAAACTTTGTTTCGATGGTCACATGAGATATAAAAATCCATATTAACACAGTAAAAAAATCTAGCGAGTGTGAGTGGGTTTGAAAGTTTTAGTTTTAAGAAGTAAACATACTGAGAAATCTCAATAGTTCGTTACAACGGACGTAATGTCTACAGGGATGACTATGGGAATATTTTTATTATCTATGGTCTAAAACTCCGTTACGGACGCCTACAGCGGATAGCAGGGTGGGAGCGACATCAAGTAATGGCTTCCTACAAACAAATGAACCCGTTATTAACACCCTGTGATATCTATAACGCCCGAATAACAGTTGTATAATATTAGGTCTTTACCTATGAAATTGCCGTTTTGTATGCAATAAGTGAAAGTACTTATTTTTTCATACATCATACATCTTTGCCAACGCATTGGCAGTTTATTGATGCCCTTCTTGTAAAAATCAGCTGGACGGGAGGCAACAAACTCTTCAAAGGCATTTTGTACTGCCTCTCGGGAATTGAATTTTTTACCCACTAAAAAGTTGTCTAAATTTTGGAAAAAGTAATAGTCGGTAGGTGAAAGGTCTGGTGAGTATGGCGGATGAGGGAGAGCTTCCAACCCCAGCTCTTGCAGCTTGGAGACTGTCTGTTGCGCAGTATGGGGTCGCGCGTTGTCGTGAAGGAGCAGTGGGGACGACCGATTGACCAAAGCTGGTTGCAGATGTGACCACCAGACCTTGCACCTACCGACTACCGAATTATAAAGTATCTAGATCGTAGAATTGGCGGACACTATATTATAAATCCCCATTTGACTACGATAGTGTTTATAATAAACTCTTGCATTGCCTTAAGAGTCTTCTTCACCTACGCATATATACTTTTAAAAATTTGTATGTGGAAATTATCAACTTTTTTAAACTGTGTATTCCACCTGTAATTGCGATATATTGGGTGTCTTGCTATTCTTACATATATGTATTCGTTTAGGTATATTACTACGAAGTTTATGATGGCGATAAGTCACTATCTAAATATTTACTTAAAGATCCATTTGACACGTAGGCTCTATTCACACATCGTATTTCATCTGCAAATAAGAAAAGAATCCAACTTGCATTCGATAAACTCTGTTAAGTAAATCACCTATCTCTTCTATTAAACTGGTTTATTCATTAATCTTTTTTAATTGTTATTTCATATTATATAAAGAGTTCAATGTTTCGTATGTATATAAAATCAAACACACTATCACTTTTATTTTAAAGTTATTACTGTTCTCAGAAAAAGCATTTATCACGACGAAATTACTTTCACTACTACATATTACAAAAAATAAATAAACATTATGATGTTCCTTAAAGGTTAATTTCGCAGTTCGCCATCCAGTGAAGTACGTCGTTAATCCGTTTAATTGTTCATAGGCTATTTAATGCAACGTATAAAATAATATCAAGACTACGTAAAATTTTATTGAAAGCAATAATGTGCGTAAAATAATGTGGAATGCTTATTATTATAATTAATGTCCAAACACCTATTAAGAACAAGCAATAAATTATGGTTAATAATTAATTATATTACTTCGATAATACATAGGTATCTTTTATGTATTTGGTTCTCCACTGCCCCTTTAAACTTAATAGTTAGCGGTCATAATTTATGTAGTGTCATTCATTAATCATTTTATGCGGTAGCTAAGGGAATTATACTTTTGTAATATTTTGTTTTTTTTTCATTGTGCAGATTTCCCCCACAAGTTGTAGCAATCGACACGTCCGGGAAATTCTTCGATAGAATGTGCAGTTCACGGAAATCTCTTCATATAGAGAACACCACCGGTGAAACGGACACTGTGAAGCGGCGCACACGCACAAGAAAACCTCGTGGTAAAAGACGAAACACCATTTCGGGCACTGATCAAAAAGAGCTTAGAGAGGCTATAGCTGGGTAAGCTTTTAGTATGCACTGAATTCACTCACCCAGGTTACATTATCTATCAGAACTTTATAATATACTTTGTTCAGTTTTAGTTCAATATTTTTTTCTTAGATAATGTAATCTCTCGTCTTGATTAACGACAATAACCGGTCAGCACAGTAAGTGTGGACAGCTTTAAAGATAAAACAAAATCCTGAGCACACATTTTTAACATCTCGTTGATAATACTATCTCGTGCTTCTGTGAATACATTATGTTTAACATTGGATGTCATTGTTTATTCAACGTTTCTATAACTCGGAGACAAGGACACCCAATCATTTGTGCACTGGATCACTAATAGTGCCATTTGTTCATTAGCTTCATGATTAATTACATCTTTGAAGAGCTCCGCTGTAACGAGACTAAGCGGCGCTCTTTTAAGAACTTTCAAACATAGAATGCATTATGCATTTAGCGTGTGACTAATGCTTTGCTTGGTTTGTTCTACTGTAGCGATACAACAAATGCAGTGGCTTCTGAAGAAATCGAAGATAGTAATACAGTCATCAGGTCAAAGTCTAGTGATTTACTTAAGAAAAGTCCTATCGATCCGGTGACCAAGAAAGGGCATTTCAACTCACTGAAACAATGGGGAAAGAATAGGTTGAGATTGATTGGGAGATCACCTAGCGCCAGTAGGGATAGTTTTAAGGATGGTTCGAAAATTGAAAAAGTCAAAGACTCAAAATCGCCGACTAGACAAATAGAATCAGTCCAAGAAACTGTCACAATGCGAAAAAAACGACCAGGAGAAGAGGATAGGAGAACGCATCAAAGATGTGCATCATATTCCTCTTCGGAGAAGAGTATTGGCGTTCCTAGCACAGTACCGATAAACACAGCTACAATTAACATTGGAGTGAAATTACGCGGAACTTCAGTCCAAAGGAGGCTGAGGCGGTCCGGAACTGCAACTGCTAAAGATGAACCCCATTCTTCAAGCGGAAATTGGTCTGCTAGTTCCGAATCGGGTCGAACAAGTATAGGTTCTGAAATAACTACTACAACAGTTCCTCCTAAGAGTACAACTTCCGGTGGTACATCAAACAATTCCTTAAATGCACATCACGGCCCCCCGAGTTCTATTATCAGTCGTCGAAGATTCCTTAATACTTCAGGCTCAGGAAGTGTGACTAGTGAAGGAACTCTCACACCTGATATTATTCATGACTTACACGAAGATTTGGAAACTAGTTCAGAATTTTCTTGTGACACGGAAGGTTACTATACATCATTCCATATGGACTCGGGATTAAAAACCTTGAAAGAAGAAGAAACTGTCCCCAGCACACCAATGCACACGAGCAACGCTCTTTCAAACTCATCTAACAGTCAAAATATGTCAGCGGAAAATGAATATGAATTGTTTGGAAAAGGATCAACAAGTACAACAACAAGTTCTGCAGGAACTGTCTGCACAACTTTGATGGCAGCTGGAAGCGATAGATCCTTAGTAATAGGCCCAACTGTACCTGAACGAAAGAGTTCATTAACTAAAATGAATAGAAGTAGAGGAAGCGCACACAGTGCAAATGCCAGTTTAGATAGGAGTAATTCCTCTTTCACAAAATCTCCTTACAGCAGTCTAAGATATAACCCAGTTCGATCATCTTTAACAGGGTATAACCAGTCGTCACCAGAAATAAGTGAAGTGCCACCCGCAACGATTACAATTACGAGAAATGTAGGTAATCATAAAGAGATAACAGCAGTCGCTGAAGTACACACAGAAACTGAATTTGAAAGTACAAAGAAAAGTACAGGAACCAGTTCACCAGATTCAGGACACAATACTTCTAGTTCTCCCATTGAAGATTCAGTTTCCAGTGCGCATGGGAAAAATAGTTTATCCGAACAAGATTATTCCGAATCTTCTGATCTGGAAGGTACTGAAAGAATAGAGAGAATAAGATACAAAACTACAATCAATAGTTCTAGAATTCCATCAATGTGTGTCATTACACCTTCCAACTCTGACGATGAGAGTGAAATAAGTAACAAAGAGTCTGATACAGTTGTCAAAACAGATACTCTGACTGAAATAACTAAAATGGCTAACAGGCCAAAATTAGAATTACCTGTTGTAGAAAATCCTAAAGAAATCAAAACAAACATCGATGTAACAAAGTCAACCAAACATTCGAGTCAACTTAAAACTTCTTTACAACCATTTAATAGCCTAATGTGCAAACTAAAGGGGGTTTTGCCACATAAATTATCAAACAAGAAATCGCCAGTCTCGAAAGAACCAGAAATTGCAGAAGACATATACGATACCGGTGACTACGTTACTATTGCTGACGTCAAGAACAACAACCAGAAAATGAGTCTCAACAGAAGTATTTATGGAAATAGTGACATTGTAAGAAAAAATCTACAAACAGTATTGTCAGGTAAATTGCCTGAAACGGAATATGTTTCTCTTAATGAATTGCCAAATTGTCTTAGTGCAAGCAAAGATTATTTAGAAGATGGTCTTGAAGAAAAGCCATCTCCGGCACTAGAAGAATTACAAAGAAAAGGAGCAAAGGTTACTCTAGATTCACAAGGCCAAGTTATTTATTCATCTGATACCCTAAAACGAAGAAAAGGAGCCCACACAACATTCGAACCAGGACCATTCGTACAAGAGATTAAACCCACCACTACGGTTATCCAACGTGAAACTCCTGACGTTGTTAAAGTATCGGATGAAACAGACTTCCCTTACGAAGTGCCACAGCCTTCGAGTAAGCCAACATCACCCCAACTAGGAAAAATGATTATCAAAGCGCCTATAGAACCTGATGGTCCGATGACTACAGAATTTGTAACTTTACCGACACCTAAACCTAGTACAATTATAACCGCTACTCCTATCACCGAAACACCTGTATCTAGCAATCAACAAAACACGAAAATAAATAAAAACCCACAAGATATACCGCGAGTTGTAGAAGCGATTACTAGAACAGGGGCTTATGTAAATATTCACGATGCGGAGGGTGTCAGCTTATCTCCGACGAAAGACGATTCCGCAGGTAAGATAATTTCTTCAAAGTCTATCACCAGAAAACTTTTCGAAGTGAAACTGCATAATATTGATGTTGATCTCAATCAGATGAATGAATCAGTTACACCATTTGTCCCAAACTTTCAAACTCCTATAATGCAAAAAAACAAATTTGATAAACAAGATCTTAACAAGTCAGGGAATAAAATTGCTGAAGTATTAAGAATGTTTACTAATAGGAATAATAATAATATTAATGATGATATATTGAGTCCCAATAGCAGTAACACCACGGTTTCCGAATGTTCAAATGTAAACAAAATAAAACGTAGCGATAGTTATAAATTAGCAAACTCCCCTCTAATGCCGATCAAAAAGCTACTAAAACTAGAAAGTTTTGGAACAAACACCAAAAAAGTAGACTCGTTAGAAATGATTCAGGCCGAAATAGCAGCAGATTTATTACGCGATCAGATTAACTACCCTCCAACTGTCTCCCCTAAATTGAGCCATAGAAGTGCTATTGATGAATTAGAAAAGTGCGAATGTACTGATAATAACAATTCATTTGTAGATGACAAGTTCGAGGCAAAATTATCTGCTTTGACATTAAGCCCATTTACCACACCCATGCTTAAAAGACATACGGTGGCGATAATCCCTGACAACAGAGACACTTCTTTAGATTTATTAACAGCAATTTTAGATTCTGAATCTGACGATGTTTGCGTTCTACATTCACCTCCAGGTTGTCCTTTAACTCCCAGTAAAGTAACTGTACCTGAAGATAGTCCTATGTATAGAGCTAGAATATTATCTATTTCTGAATCCGACTATGGCACTGAAATCTGGTAAACTTTGAGTACTCTTTACAACTTTCTTTTTCCAACAAAATATTTCTACATCTACATCTGTTGTATATAACCGTTATTTTTTCTGTTACCGACGACTTGTAGTATTAGGCTTAAATCGTTAAGTATTGAGAAATAAATCAATTGTTCTTAATATTATAAGATATGATCTTGTTAAAATAGTTGAATAGAAAAATATATGAGCAATTATGAAATAATCCGTCCTTTGTACGATATAAGTAGAAACAGCTGTCTTCCACGATATAAATTTTGTCCATTCTGTGATAATTTTTATTTAGTTTAGGTAATGTATTATTATAACTGAATTTTAAATTCTATATCGTCATGATGTATCAGTACTTTATTTTGATGATGCAATGTTTTTAGTGTAAGTGTTAAATGCATGGTGGCTTTTTTCACCGCAGTGTGCACAGCTTACGAGTGGTTCATATTCTTCGTATGTAAGTGCATGGTGTGTTATTCTATGTCTTTGTGTTTTTTGTAAATAATATTATTATAGAATTATTGTGAATTAACGCACTTATTTCATTTAATGTCACACCTTCAGCTATCACCCTCACATTACTCATTATAGCACTGGGCTATGAAACTATACCAGGTTCTGTTTACATGTATAGCATACGTTACAAAAGGGAATAATTCTACTGAGCCCAATAAAAAATGAAATAAAAACCAGATATTTACATAAAAAAATAGTCGTTATGATATACATTTGATAGAAATACAGCTCTTTTAAGATCCGATCTGATTTTTATATCATTACATCCTGTTAAAAACAGAACTTTCTACTTCAAAGATAAAGTATGGTTAAAATGTAAATAATACAGACTATTACGTCTGTTACATTACCTACACCTATGGGAGAATAACAATTGGATACTAAGGATCCTTACGAATATAACTTAACTAATTTGTGTGTAACACATTAATTGCGATTCTGCTAATTTGAACTCAACTAGATTTAATCTCACTTCGGACGTCACAATAAAAATGTAAAAATTTCTTCCCTTTTTTATTGATTCTTAAGGTGTAAGTATTGTTTCATAACATCTATTACAGGCGTTTGATAGGGTCGTTTTTAGTTATAATATCCATTGAAAACGACATATTTATCTACACGACACCCAGGGGTTTTTAATAAATAAACCTTAATGCCGCATAAATATACTTATTTATTTATTATATTTTTACTGTGACCGCTTAACCAAAAAAATCCTAAACAAAGCCTTTGTTAGAAGGATATAAAGTGACATTAAAACTAGTTTAAAAGAATCGACAATCTCATATACTAAGTAATAATAAAAATAGGTGTGTAGTAGGTACTTATTGCACTCACCTTACATCGCTTTGCACAGTGAAGGAGATTGCTTCCACTGTTTCGTCTTTAACGACTACTTCTTCAAAGGTAAAGTTTTGTGTTGCTTATTTGGCATGATGCATGGGGTCTAAATTACTAACAAACTAAAAATCAGCACTTAGTGCCACACTAAACTAAATTATTATAATGTACTAAAGTTTCGGTTGAAGTGGTGATAACCATTAAATAATGCAAGAATAAAATACCATGCACTATACATGTTTTGATTGTGATAAACCACGTACATTATATATTGTTTAAATATATTTATTCTTACGTAATATTTCTGTGTTATTTATGTTTAGTTCAATGTATGATTTAGTATTTCAGCCTTAGTTACGCTTATGGTTTCGGTACAATTTTTACATTTAGTACTTAGAGTATTTTATTTTGCAGTTACGATATAATTTTAATTTTGTTATAAATGCTTATTATATATGTTTGTACCGATTTTCTATAACTGAGCATGTACGTTCTCGATTTATGTATACAAAATATTAGTCATTCGAATATTGATATGTGAAAATAATTTACCGTATTTTTGTTGTGTTTAAATTTTCTCATATTATTATGCCACTGCGTGCCGTCAAATTATATATTTAGTTAGTTATTAAGAAAGTCATAACCATGACGACGATGCGATAAAGACATTTAATAATTTGATTTGAATTTGAGTTAATGAAAATAAATCCTTTTTTTAAATTACATACTTTAATTTGAATGCAATGGATGTTGACAGAATGAGAGTATTCCCTTTTTCTGAAAGTAGGTAGAAACGGCTCAGAGGTGATTACTGCATATTTTCACATATCGTTATTCGCAACAGTAATATAAATTCTTGAGGTTATTCAAATCTTGGTCTCTATATTCATATTATTTCTTACAAATTCCGTATTAAGTCCTTCACTAGAACGATTTTGTAAGTACATTTGTAGAAAAGATATGCTATTTTTAGTTGTCTATTAAATTTATAGTAGAATGAAACGTAACGTAGAACTACGCAGACATTATAAAATTAATTGACAAAAAGTATTTTATATTTCCAGACTATCGACATTCCAGTGCTGACAAACCCTATTTGAACATGCCGCCTAGCCAAGTCCATAATAAGGGACCAACAATAGACTTAAATGCGATCAATCCCACCTTACACAGATACCATACTGCGCATCTACGCGGCAAACATGGCATCGTCAATTATGATAATACAACGAATACTCAAAACGAACAGCCAAAGTTTTGGACACTGCCGAAAAGAATGAACACCGAACCTAACGCTCTACAAAGAACCTTTAACTATCCTATTAAAACTGTCCCTAGGGACTTACAACCACTTGACCAAAGGCAAGATTCCATTAATATTAAAGAGGAATCCATCAAAATATCACCTATAGACCCTAGAACTTTAGGAACCTTCAAATCATCAACTCCATCCAACAAAGAAAACATTGTTGATCTGTCTTCGAAATTGTTATCTCCAGTTAAATCAAGCATGACCAACGAAGAACTATACGCTGTTATTCATAAAAGTAAGAAGAAATTAAATATAAAAGACGCCCCAGAAAGATCGGAATCTCCAGCGTTATCTACTATTAGTTTATCTCCAGTCAGTTCAGAAACTTCTTTATATACCAAAGGTAGCCAACGTTATCCGGAAACTGGTTATCTAGGGGATCCTAGAAACCGAATGAGTTGGTCTCCTGCTGATAAAACCTCAATGGTTCCTCAGTTCGCTTCTATGTATGGAGTTCAAAAACAAGAAACAACTTGTGCCGATCGATACGGACCAATATCTCAGACGTCTAGGTTAGATTTCAAAAAACTGTTACTGCAGCACAGCGTTAAACTGAATACACTTAGTCCTCAAACTAAAACTAACAAACTGTCAGCAGTGGAACAATTAAAACTTTCACGGGAGAAATCGCAAACGCCAACATTGCCAGCACAAATTGCAAACAAATCAAACATAAATATTCTTGATTTAAGTGGATCTCCGAAAACATATACACATAGAAAAGTTATAAAACCCAGTACCCAGCCTACATCACCAGGACGTACTGGAGCGCTAATTAAAGAACACAAAAATACATCCAAAATATTACTATCGCCCAAGTCACAATGGCGGTTTGCAAGTCCAAGGTCTGACGTCTTGTCCACTCCTATACCAGAAGCATATAACGAAGATGAAAATTCTAATAGCTCAGGGGAGAAACATGATGTTTCTCCTGAAAACCAATCATCAAAAACAATACCTATAGTCACAAACCAACATTTTGGGGCTCGGCGCAACCTGATACCGCTGAATGAAAATGCTTTGGAAATCGTAAGAGTTTTCCCTCAATCAATTGATCAAGGAGTGTTTCCTCTTAACCAGGACTTTACCAAAGGACAAAGCCTATCAAGAACAGAAATAATGCAGGCAAAGCGTGCTGAATTCTTTAATACATGTCCGGAATCATCCCCGCCTAAACTGTCATCCTTCAAAAGCCCTTCGACGACTGGTTCGTCAACGAATCTACGAAGCAAATCATCTCCGGAACGAGGCAAAGTTTCACCAACTACGCTTGAAACTGCCTTATGATAAAACGAATATTAAAACGAGATGTCATAGCGGTGCTTTTAAAATGTCAATCTCAACTTGTAAATAAGGCAATGAAATTGATAGAAGCTTTAATCTAGTCTTTTCTTGCTTAGTGTGCCATTTTTGCAGGCACTTTTTTTTCCAAACCAGTGTTTCACGTACTCCTTAATTCGAGCTCAAAGTTATCATTTATTTATAATAACTGCTCTATGGGGCCAATTTTGTTTTTTGTATATGATATTTTCTATCCTAAAAGCTGGTTATAAAACTTAGTATTTAAGTATTTATTGAGTACACATTAGGTACTATGTTAGTAGTGTTTGGAACTTTTTAAAAATTTTAAGTTATTCGGAATACAATTTTAAATAAAATGTGTTGAATAATATGCGTGTATCTTTTAATCCTTCGATGAACATAATTATATAATTTTCATATCTTATGCAACCAAGTTGGCTATTTACAGAAAAGTTGGTAAACATATTTATTTGCCAACTATTTTGCAAACGGCATGTGTAATACTAGTAAAAAGCGGTTGTTTGTACGTATGGTACCCCATTTCACTACAGGGAAGTTCGAAACCAGTTCGAAACTGCGGGGATTCATTTACTCTGTAGGATAGAATAAAGTACAAAGGGCTGATTAATCGCTATATAGCAAAAAAAATCCAAACAGGTACCTGTTAGGTTAAGGTTATTCTAAGATGAACCAAAACAACAAAAAAAGTTAATGAGCAGTTTTGGCATGAAAAAGAAATAAAGAGGAGAGGAATCATAATCTCAAACTGTTTTTTTTTGTAGTTTCCAGAAAAAAAACGTCTGTATAGAGGTTACATAAAAACTAAAAATTTCAGAAACGTTTGCTGTAATTCACATGCAACTTGCAACATAATATCTATTTATAAAATTTTTAGGTTGGTACGCTAGGTAGTTGTCTACGCTTCAAAAACACAAAAAATTCTGATCCGATTAAGATCAAATTTTGACACAATACATTCATTATTCACATCAGTTTTGTTTCTTATTTTTCATCAACAAAAACATTATTTTCCATAGCAATGCTTGGCAAGGTACCTATTGCTGGTGCAAAGTGAGTGCCCTCGCTCTATTCCATATTACCTGTCTCTTTTTTCTGCCAATAGGCGATGGGCCCTCACAAGGTAGTGGGTTCTATTCCCACCCTAGATAAGTATATTGTGATGACCTACGTCTGGTCTGAGTATAATTTATCTATAATATGTAAACATATTAAATTAAAAATATAATTTTGTTTATTTAGAAATGTAAAGTCGGATACTTTGATACTTGACCGCAGTAGGCTTGAGTTTGACCTCTTTTAAGTGAGTTGAAAAATCTCGACAGTTACGATTGGTGCACACACTGCGGACCAATCGCAGCCCCGAAGCCGCTCGATGTGATATAAACTTAAAGAAAAAAACAGTTATTTCGATCGTAGTTATTTTCACAACTTACATACAATTTTATTTTTAAAATATTCTCTCAGAGGAACTATAATCAATTCTTTCTTTTCCAGATAGGTGTCATTTTGTTAAGTTTGACTTCTCATGTTTTATCTATGCTTACTTCTGTCAATTATTTACATTACCCAAAACAACTCGAAATTTTTTTCAAGAATTTTTTTTTGCCGGGAAAAACCGTGTAATGTTCTTAAGAAAATCTACACGCTTTATCTGAACCAATGAAGTGTAATTCCAATGAAAGTGCCGACACTTTAATGAGCACCGAAGGCTTCCATTGTAAGCTTCGATTTCTAGCACTAGTTGTGAACACTGGAAACCTAATTAATGAGAGAGCAACGAAAACATACGGCATTAATCATGCCACTGTAGCGCCTATTGCAATCTTCACTACATATTTTTTCTTTGGCATTTTTATCATTAGCGATTGCTGCCATCGTTACAGTTCAAAGTTTATACAAATATATGCACTTATATCTTGTGTTACACTTCAAATTACTCTATCCATAGTGGTTTTTATAGAACTTCGCCGCATACAATCAGAAGGAATTACTGTAAATACTATTACTAATACTGGTCAAGCATTGAATGGCGTATTACCAATGTTTACAACATTGCTGCTGCTTGTGGATCTCACTGTTATAATATTTGCAAATCGCGAAGACCCCACAGATGTCGCAATAACAATATCTGAAGAAGAGGCAGTATCAGTACAAGAATCAATACACCAACCGCATACATAGTATTTATTATTAATCATATTTAATAATCATCATATTAAAAATATACAAACATAGCATCAGTAGATATTTTTGTTTCTTCCCACTATAAAGACGACTGATTTTGCCAATGGTGTACGTAGGACTAGGTACCTACTATGATTCTTCTTTGACACCTCAGCAATAGTCGGACACTACTAGAACCGATGCTAGGTACCTTACATGTTTTGGACAGAGTCCTGCCACACACTACAATGACACCCTTAATGGGTTTAGGAACGCCCGTTGGTTTCTTCAAGTAAATTGCTTTTGTGCAATTACAAAAGCAATGTAAATCTTTTGAAATTGTACAAAAGCAGTAGCAGAAGAAACCCACGGACGTTTCTCGGTCCATATGATTTATACATAATAAGGAACCGCGTGATCTGGGAGAGGAGAGGTTTTATTTTTCATACATAAAAAGAGGGCTGTTGTACTCGTAGATTTTGCCCGAATTGGAGCTACCTCATTACAGAAGTAAAATTGAAAGTCGAATGTCATCAATAAAACCACATCACACCGGTATCGACGGTTTATTCCTTGTCAGAGGCTACTATACGGCCATATCGACTCAAAACTATTAATTACGAGCCCCTTTGATTAATGAAATTACAAAACTTGATGTTACTCTTATAAACCTTTTACTGGACTATAATCTTATACAAATACTAGCTGAGTTGCTAACCCGGCAAACGTTGTGTTGCCATATACATTATTTCTAGGAAATATTGAAAAAAAAATAGTGGGGGGTCACCCTTGTCATTTAGGGGTAAGCAAAATAGATGTTGGCCGATTCTCAGACCTACCCGATGTGCACACAAAATTTTATAAAAAGCCGTTTCGGAGGAGTATGGTAACTAACATTGTGACACGAGAATTTTATATATAAGATTAGAAAAGTAATATTCAAAAGATTCAAACCAAATGAAGTAGGTACCAATGCACATTTAAATTTCTTGATGATCACTAAAATATTAAAGCGTTAAAACATAACAAAGTCACATTCGTATTAGTTAGTATTTTCTATAATGCAACAAAAAAATACTATAGATCTACTAGTTAACTTTATAACTCCTAAAAAAAAATGTGAGATTAATTTATCCTGAATTCGTAACTATTATAAATTTACTTTAAGCCAAACTATTAGGGTAAAGAAAAAATTTTAATAAAATATATTTTTTGTCCACGCTGGAAGCTGCTCAAATATTTAATTGTAGAATAAAAATGTAGGTATTTAGACATCGGGCACGCCGTCATTGCGGCGGTAAGACCCGTTATGGAGGATTGGCTCGAGAGGCGTCACGGGACCCTCTCACACCGATTGACGCAGGTGATCACTGGGAAGGGATGTTTCGGAGATCACCTGTGTCTGATCCGCAAGGAGCCAACGCCTGAGTGCCACCACTGCGATGGCCAGACCGTGGACACGGCTCTCCACACGCTGGCAGAGTGCCCGGCGTGGGTTGAGCAGAGGCGAGACCTCGTGGCGGCCATCGGAGTGGGAGTTCTCTCGCTCGATAGCCTGATTGCGGCTATCGTGCGGAGCGAGAGTGCGTGGAACTCTGCCGTCTCCTTCTGCGAGCAAGTTATGCTCGCGAAGGAGACGGCGGAGCGGGACCGGGAGAGGTTTAGAACTCTCCCGGCCCGCCAGGTCCGGGCACGGGCCAGGCAACGCAGGCGACTCAGGCGCCGGAGGTCGCAGAACGACCTCCGTCCTCCATAAGCGCAGGCCTGGGGGTGACAGGTGAGGCCATCTGTCACCCTAGCAGAAGCAGGCCGGGGTGGCGGCGAGCGCGTTGCGAAGCGCGCTCGCTTCCAGGGAGCACAGGGAACATGGGGTTCCCACACGGGGGGGGGGTCGTCTACTCGTCTGTAGATGACCCGAGGTATGTCGTGGCACCAGGGACTTCCTTTCTAGGGTATACCTGGTTCCCCGGCTAATAGTACCCGGCGAAGGCGTGCGGTTTTAGTCGGTTCGAGTCCGACATGCCACCGATAGGTGGTAACCGAGGGGATTGCCGCACGGAAAAAAAAAAAAAAAAACAGGTATTTAGACATAGACCTTTAATTAGTCTTCAGTATTCGAGGGAATTTACTATTCCTTATTATAGTAAGTCCTTGGTTTACTGATTATTTTAGTATACTACATTAACTTTGCCATAATATGAACTTTAGATGAAAATTTTCATAATTTTCATTACATTTCGCAGATTTAGTAAAAAAATAATAATTTAATACACTGATTTCATATCACCATACATTTATCAGGAAACTGAATATTTTTGTTTCATTAACGATTATAAGTTAAATATATAGTATATAGTGTATACAATGGCGATGGCTTGCCTTGGGCCAACATGGGCTGATATGTAATGTGTATTTGCCTCTGCTCTGTGAAGGTACACTTATTACTCAACTATTAAAAGAATAGCTGTCAATTCATGTACACTTTAATAAAGTAAAAGGCCGCTTGTATACAGTAGTAACTAGTGATGTGCCGGATATCCGTATCCGTATCCGCGGTTATCCAAGGGAGAAGAGAGATCCGTAAGCGTATCCGTATCCGTGACTTTTTTGGCGGATCTTTTAATACATATTACATAGATGAAATTCTATATAGGTGATTTTGTATTCACTGTAAAACTCTTATTATGTGTTTGTAACACTATAAACAGCAACTTTTTTTCTGGCTAACGTCAAAATGAAAAAAAATTGGTCCTCCATTCAAATGACCAATCAAATGTTGTTAGTTTTTATGGAGAAACAATTTTTATTCTTTCGTTTTCGGTGTTAGTCCAGAAGAAAAGTTGTTGTTTATAATGTTACTAATATGCACTTCAGAGGTTTTCAGTAAATTTAAAATATCCCTGAATAATGGTTATTAGGTAGCTATGAAAAACGATTGAATTCTGTTCAGATTACTTTTTATTTCTTAAAACAAATATTTGGCACCTTTGTATTGCAATCATTTATCGTACTACACTAAATCAACTAGGCAGGTCGTAGGTACTGAAAGAGCTATCTTTATAATGAGATCAATCAAACATCTTTGTATTAGCTTATTAAAATAATGAAATATTTAAATATCAACGGCAAAGCGTCAAGTGGCGACAACTATCAAGTTCACGGGCTCCGATTGAGTAAGAAACTTAAGATCCGTATCCGTATCCGTATCCGCGGATCTTGATACCAAATATCCGTATTCGGCTCCGTATCCGCGGATATACTTTGTTAACGATCCAGCACATCACTAGTAGTAATCAGTTTAATTAGATATATATATAATTATAATGTGTAACAAACGAACTAAATTCCCACTCAAACCGTCTCTAACTACTTGTAACAGGGGCTTTACAAAAGTTACTGACCTATAAAACTGCAACAACATTCTTTAAATCTTAAGTAAAATAATATTCAGTTTGATTCCTTCCTTAAAAAATATTATTTTTGAGATTCCCTATACAAACTTCCACCCCTCTATTCATCCCCTAAAGGGGTGACTAATTGGTCAAAAAATTTACAAACATTCTTTATTTTTAATAGACCGTTTACACGCATGGCGAGCCTCGAAAGTGTCCACAACCACAAGCGTGTAAACGTGGTGTTTGGCTCGGCTCGCGTATGCTCGTCGTCGATCGGTACTAGTGTCGGTTTTTGAACACAGATCAAAGGAAGCCCGCGGCAAGCCCCCCTTTCCCTTTATACGCTTTGATTTCCAAGATAAGAACTATTCTATATCCTTCCTTACAGCTCAAACAGTCTTCATACCAAACTACTTCTTAATCGGTTTAGCAGTTATTCATTGCCTATACAAACTTCCACAAAATTTTAAAATGCATAAACATACATTTTTTATTTCTAACGTAAAGTAAAAAATGAAAAACTCGTAGTCCTTTTTTATTGATTCCCTTTAGAAATTTCCACCCCCTTTTTACACCTTACTACACTTTTCGTTATGCTCTTGTCACACATTAACCAGCTTACTTCCCAAGTCAAGCATGCATAGTTTTACTTCAAAAAGTCATTGGTATAAAGCAGTATGTGTTAAAAGGTGTTGAACATTGCCAGTGGTTTTTGTTATACATAGGTGGTAACTGTCCATTGCTTACACACTGATTAAGTGTGTAATGCCTATTCACAACTTATACATTGTACAACTATACATTTGTTAAAGAGATGTGTGACTAATTTTTTTTTTTTATTGATGCTGTTATGGGTTTAATAACTGTTAAATTCATAGTGAGTAAAAAACATTTTTCATATTAATATTTTATTTTAGATATAAACTTACAAATATACCACAAAACAATATGGATTTGATTGGTTACCTGCGAACAAAGTTGTTAGCTTTCTAGTCTAACTTTAAATTTTTTTATTTATCGAACTCTAATGAAATAATAACATGTCATTATTTTCAGTTTCTCTGAAATAATATAGTGCTTAGACAAATGCAGTAATAATAAACATTTTGAAACAACATTTCGCTGGTTTGCGAGAATAGCAATGGAACTTAAGTTAATAATTTTAGAGAACAGCTAATTTTTTTTTTTTGTTAGTGTTTTCTCTTAAATAAACCATAACCATGTTGCTTTCTCAAAAATGTTAACACAAAAAAAAGATTGACAAATTGAGAACCTCCTCCCTTTTGTAGTCTTTTAATAACAGCATCTCCACTCACAATAAACTGTCATCTTTTAGCAGACTTCAATTTGCCTGAGTTTTGCATTATGTTAATATTAATTTGCCTGAGTTTTGCATTTATGTTAATATTAACTCAGACCAGAGGTTTGAAAAGAATACATTAAAAGAAACAAATCTCACATTAAAGGCCTATTTTTGACATTACAATGGCAAAACATCTATAAATTTATTAAATGCTGAACTAAAAAAGGACAATATTTACGATGCTGTAACCTCAAACTACACATATTTTCTTGTGAATCGTAAAACTATATTAATTAAACTTCTATTTTTCAGTCCATATCACTTTCCATTCGATGCTATTTATTCATAGGTGGTCCGTTCATGAGTGGCGGCCGCATTTGACCCATTGGCCCCATCGGGCCCATTGGTCCCATTATGGGTCCCATCATTGGTGGTCTCATTCCCATCATAGGCGGCATCGGCCCGTGTGGTCCCATCATCATCGGTGGAGCCATAGGACCGCCAGGACCCATTGTTGGAGGTGGCAACATTCCTGGCGGTCCTCCAGGGGCAGGAACAGGTGGTCTAGGACCGCCAGGTCCCATAACTGAAGGGTCCCATGGAGGAGGTATAGCCGCTCCCTTGTTAAACGGATTTTGAGCTATTTTACCTGCTTTAAACGCAGCTGTGGTAGCGTCTATGAGATGTTGTGCTTGTTCCTCCATCCACTTCTGGTAATAAAATTTAACGTTATCTTTATGTTTTCTTCCAGTACAATGAGTTTTTCTTACACTTGGTGAGTCGTGTGTTAGATATGTATCACAGTAATCACAATAGTATTTAGGCATTTTTTATACAACTCTTAACTTCAGCTTTGATGAAATGCCTTTAAGGTGCGACTACAATATCGGCTACGTTATAGTTCTATCCGGTAGACACTAGACAAGCAAGACTTAACCAATACTTATACTCAATATTGAATTTGCAAACATGAGCTTCATACTTCATGTCAATCAATGACAGTTTTACAGTTCACAGTTTACCTTTGGCTAGTCTATGGCTTGTCTTTTTTTAACTCTATGGTTCGTTTTAAAAAAATAAATAGTGCCCAGCTCCTTTTTACCCAACTGCGCTTTATAGTAGTATATTTCTTTGGCATGCTCTGTAGTCTAAACGACTTGATGGGATTTTTGGAGTTTGAGGTGTCATTAGATTCGTTTTAATTGTGAGAGATCCCTCTCAAAATAATTAAAATAAATAAATGACTTTAAGAATACGATTTTCAGGCAGCTGGGATTTTTGTTTTTTCAATAAAGTACTAATTTCATACAGTCATTGACCATTATCAACGATATTATTCTGTACTACGACACACTGAATTTTTCAAACTCTTGTTTCAAATAATTTACCACCTAAAAAATTAAATCCACATGAAAAAAAAAAACACATTGATGTGTATTATCTAGACTTGAATTCAGATCTTCGCAATAAACCAGACCATATATTTTTACTTCTGGAATTTGCTAGTTTTCCTTTTATCTTATTAGGTTTTAGAGTAAACAAAAAAAAATTATTTCTGTTTATGTGGAACATTATTTTGCTTCGGAGTAGTTACTTTCTAATAAGGTTGATTGGAGTAAAAGACACACTAGTAAAATATTTTAGACGATTTTATGGATTTATTTTTCTCGCCTCTATTAAATTGAAAGATGCAAATGGCGCGCATCATTTGCACGTGTGATTGACATTTGTATAACATTTTCTTGTAAATCGCAATACACATAACAAGTTTTGCAGGTGTCGCTTTAAAGTACTAGAAATTAACAAATATTGACCGGAGCAATTTAAAAGTTAATAATGACGGACATGAAGTATATATTGGTTACCGGTGGTGTAATTAGTGGTGTTGGGAAAGGTGTGATTGCAAGCTCATTTGGCACAATTTTAAAAAGCTGCGGGATTGATGTGACTTCTATAAAAATCGATCCGTATATAAATATTGACGCAGGCACTTTCTCTCCTTATGAGCACGGTGAGTGAAGATTAATTATGCTTGTTTTATTCAGTCGTTATGTGAGTATTCGGCACATTTGAAATTGCATCGATCTGCATCTGTCTATTTTTATTTTCTAGGTGAAGTTTACGTGCTCGATGACGGTGGTGAAGTCGACCTTGATCTTGGCAACTATGAACGCTTCTTAGATATAACCCTGCATAGAGACAACAATATAACTACTGGCAAGATATATCAAATGGTTATAGAGCGCGAGAGACGTGGAGATTATTTAGGAAAAACTGTTCAAGGTAAGTTAATTTGCTTTAATTCCTTCAATTTGACTCTGAAATAGTACTACTTCAGATAATACTTTCACTGCAGAGATTATTCCTTGTAATAGATACTAAATGAATTAATTTAATTATTTTTTATGTATGAAATTTCTTTAAAAAATTATGTCTTCTAGTAATACCACACATAACTGATGCCATACAAGAATGGGTGCAAAGAGTGGCCCAAATATCTGTGACACCGGACAATGCCCCACCAAGGGTGTGTATCATAGAACTCGGTGGTACTATTGGTGATATTGAAAGTATGTCATTTGTGGAAGCATTCAGACAGTTCCAGTTTAGAGTGAAAAAAGAGAACTTTTGCTGTGCCCATGTGTCTTTAGTCCCAGTGGTAAGTTTTATACATCAGTTAATTAAAAAAAAGTTATATTAAGTTACTGTCTCCTCTACTTGTCTCTATGGCACATATCTTAATCTTTTAGCCTAAATCTACTGGTGAACCAAAAACTAAACCTACACAATCTTCAGTTAGAGAACTTCGAGGGTTGGGACTATCTCCTGATTTGATATTGTGCCGATCTGAGAAACCTATCAACCATACAGTTAAAGAAAAAATATCAAACTTCTGTCATGTTGGACCAGAGCAGGTAATTTTTTAATTGATTTATAGGTTCTTAAGCTGCTTTTTTTATCAATGTTAAAGCCATTTGAATAAAAATCTTACCACTTCTGAGGTTTAAATAATATCATTAGTAGGTACATGTTGTGAGGCGAGTATTACAATAAAAATACAGATACATATCTGAAAATATTTCAGTGCAAAAGACCCACAAAAAGAGTTTTACTTTGATTTTGTCCATTACATTTTGACAAATTAAAATGTAAATACTAATTTGTAGATGTCTAGATAGTAACTCCAGCATTGATAGTAATTCCAGCAGTTCTGGGAGCAGATTTCTTTTATATGAAACTGTATTCCATATAGAAGCCATCTGCTCAGAGATGTTGATAATTTAGTCTTGATAATCCTTTCCTTGAGATTCTACTTATACCCAATGTGATAAAGGGAAGAGGATATGATTTATTTACTTGTAGCTTTCAACTAACACACCTAGTACCTTATTTTGAGTCTCAAAAGGAAAATGGTTAAAAACATAAGAGGTACAATAATTGTCAATGTTTTATGTTGTAGAAGTTTTATAATAACACTCAAATTACTCCAACTTAAAATTATGTAAATTACTTAAATGCGTTTATTATTAACTTATCATTTGTGGTTATTCCTAAGTTAAATTTTTTGTTAACAGTAAAAAAAACTATTTCATATCATACACGTAACTTTTAACAATTTCATATCAGACATTAGTGATGCAGGACAATGACCTATTAACACAATTTCATATCAGACATTAGTGATGCAGGACAATGACCTATTAACACAATTTCAATCTGAAGTATGTTTTATACGTAAGACTAAATAAAACAGTTATTTTTAGATTATTACTGGTTGCAACTTGATTAAAAAAGAATATATTATACTACTACTATTTATACTATACTACCCTTTTCCATTTTTATTAAACAAAAAATTGTGAAATGCATTTTTTTGCATGTTTTTTTTAATGGTATACTTATATCGACATGAAGCTGAAGGTAGCCGACGTAGTATATGGCACGCCCCTCAAATTGAGAATTTTTTAATCAATAAAGAGAGCAAACCATCATTTTCCTGCCTCAAATTACTATACAATAAACCAGAAGAACCCTTTAAGATTAAAAAAACGTATATATATATATATAACAATGAAATTAAATGAACGCTGTTTTTTAACGAAAAGTGGGGTTTTTCGATGGTAAATATGTTTTAACTCTGTTCACAAAAAAGGATTGCTTTCAAATTTTGTACGATTCGTAGTTTTGACTCGGTGCCCCGAAACTTACCAAAACTACCACAGGGTTGTTTTGGCGTCCTTAGGTTTTCCTTGACTTCGGAGGCGTCCTTAGGAATGCCTTACGGTGCCGAGTACTTCCAAGGTATACCGAGGCGTACTTAGGTATGCCTTATGCTGACTAAGACTTCCGAGGTATACCGCGGCGTCCTTAGGTATGCCTTGCGCTGCCGAACATTTCCGAGGTATACCGAGGCGTTCTTAGGTATGCCTTACGCTGCCGAAGACTTCAAAGGTATACCAAGACGTCCTTAGGAATGCCTTACGGTGCCGAGTACTTCCAAGGTATACCGAGGCGTACTTAGGTATGCCTTATGCTGACTAAGAATTCCGAGGTATACCGCGGCATCCTTAGGTATGCCTTGCGCTGCCGAACATTTCCGAGGTATACCGAAGCTTTTTTAGGTGTGCCTTACGCTGCCGAAGACTTCAAAGGTATACCAAGGCGTCCTTAGGAATGCCTTACGGTGCCGAGTACTTCCAAGGTATACCGAGGCGTACTTAGGTATGCCTTATGCTGACTAAGACTTCCGAGGTATACCGCGGCGTCCTTAGGTATGCCTTGCGCTGCCGAACATTTCCGAGGTATACCGAGGCGTTCTTAGGTATGCCTTACGCTGCCGAAGACTTCAAAGGTATACCAAGACGTCCTTAGGAATGCCTTACGGTGCCGAGTACTTCCAAGGTATACCGAGGCGTACTTAGGTATGCCTTATGCTGACTAAGACTTCCGAGGTATACCGCGGCGTCCTTAGGTATGCCTTGCGCTGCCGAACATTTCCGAGGTATACCGAGGCGTTCTTAGGTATGCCTTACGCTGCCGAAGACTTCAAAGGTATACCAAGGCGTCCTTAGGAATGCCTTACGGTGCCGAGTACTTCCAAGGTATACCGAGGCGTACTTAGGTATGCCTTATGCTGACTAAGACTTCCGAGGTATACCGCGGCGTCCTTAGGTATGCCTTGCGCTGCCGAACATTTCCGAGGTATACCGAAGCTTTTTTAGGTGTGCCTTACGCTGCCGAAGACTTCAAAGGTATACCAAGGCGTCCTTAGGAATGCCTTACGGTGCCGAGTACTTCCAAGGTTTACCGAGGCGTACTTAGGTATTCCTTATGCTGACGAAGACTTCCGAGGTATACCGCGGCGTCTTTAGGTATGCCTTGCGCTGCCGAACATTTTCGAGGTATACCGAGGCGTCCTTAGGTATGCCTTACGCTGCTGAACATTTCCGAGGTATCCCGAGTCGTCCTTAGGCATGCCTTATATTTTCGAGGTATACTGAGGTGTCCTTAGGTATGCCTTACGCTGCCGAAGGTTTCTGAGATATACCAAGGCGTCATTACGCTGCTGAAGACTTGCTGAGGTGTACCTTGACAGTCTTGACCGATCCATGTCGTGTCCACCGATAGTGGGCGTCGCGCCTCAATTTCACTTGTCTAATTGATAGAAGTTTTGGTGTCACTTTTTTGGTGGTATTTTCAAGACATGGCAATGGGGGTGTTTTAAATTGTTAATTTAAAACTATTAAACTAATAAACATAATTGTTGTATAAAAAAAATGCATTACGCAACAGTTGAGTGAAATAATTTAGTTTGTTTATAAACATAAGATCTTGTTATATTGCTTAATGACAAATCGATGAAACAATGATTACATTCTTGTATACAAAACAGTGTAAGGGCTTAAGTCATGGGCCTTTAATTGAAGTCGTCAGCTAATGTTAAATTAGTACATAAATACATTATATAAAGATCTGAATGTAAGAATTATTAGTCTTATGCAGGCTATAAAGTACAATCTTTAAATTTAATTCTCGTAACTGACCTAACTGTTCCGCTAGAAAATATACTCATATTCATCATCGTGTTTTGGTAGTGATACAGGCGAATGCAGAATGCGCGTCATCAATGATAGTCATGCAACAGTTGTAAGCTAAATTCCATTTAGAAAACATTGATCACATTGTCTTTGTCATTGCTTTTACGAAAGCAGCAACAACAGATAGCTTCCTCCAGTAAATAGTCACGCGTTGCAAATGCTCTCTATGGCGCCCATGGTGGCTTTTGACTAAGTGTCGTAAGCAACCTTCCTTTTATTTTTTTCTCCTAAAATAGCCTTAACGCATGAAAGTATTACTGTAGAAAAGGATCTCATTGGGACTTTTTTTCAGGTTATATGCATTCACGATTTGACTTCCGTGTATCACGTACCACTGCTAATGGAGGAGCAAGGTGTCGTCCAATATTTAAATGAAAGGCTGCAACTTAATATTTCCATGCAACGAGGAAAGTAAGTATTTAAATACATTCACTATCTTTGGAATCAAGTTCTATCAATTAATGAAAGGCTACTCGGCTACGGTGACTTCCAGTTGATACGGTGAAAGTACTATAAAATATACCACTATTATAATTCCGCTATGCTATTAAGTGTCCCCCGTATCGTCTTATAAACATGTAAATTAATTCGACGCCCTACATGTTGTTTAATAATTTGGGTTACATCCGCATCTGAGGTCCTTGAAATTATCGAAAATCAATCATGTGTCAGGAGATGTGGTGAGCTAACATATTTTCTTAATAATGGATTGTAATTTGGGTCATTTAATGTCACTCATTAGTGATTTAAACTAGGCCGGCGATTAAGCACATCTTAATACAAAGAAGGAAAACTTGAAACAAACCCTATACCAACCCGTCTGGCCAGCGTGGTATAGTAGGCCAAAACCTCCTTTCTAAGGAGAGGCCTATCTCCAGCAGTGGACTATTATAGGCTATTGATGTGATGTGATGTGAATACAATACCTGACCTCCTTTTGGACTTGTGAAAGGTCTGGTCTATGCCTATCATTTTGCCTCTTTTTGGTTTGTTTGACATTCAGTCTCAGTAGGAAAAAAAAATGTTTTCAAAATAAAACTTAAAAAAAGGATTAAATTCGAGGAAGTCGAGAAGTTTTTTATGTAAAAAAAAATGATTTCTACTATATATTTCAATACAACGCACGCATAGTCTTTGCTTACATCCTTTTGTGCACTCAAGTTTTTCTTATCCATTTAAGGGTAGTTAACATGTATTAGCGGTAAAACCTCCCGTTGTATATTATATAATAATAGTGTTTTGGGATATGTGGTAATTACAGACAGAAGGAATTTGACTTCGATAGAGTTTTATATAAATAGTGTCATCATCATCTGCCTACCCTTTTCCCAATTTTATTTGGGGTCGGCGCAGTATGTATGATTTTTCCATTCTACTCTGTCATGCGTCATCTCACTGTTTACTCCCTTCCTAGCCATATCCTCCCTGACGCAGTCCATCCACCTCTTTTTCGGTCTGCCTCTTCTCTTGTACCCTTCAACTCTCATACCTAAAACTTTCTTCGCCACATTTTCCTCATCCCTCCGCATGACATGTCCATACCAAGATAACCTATTACTTCTTAACTTTTCATCCAGTGGCGCTACTTTCAGACTCGGACGCAAAATTAAGTTGGAGGACGTTATTAAAATAAAAAAGAACAAACATAATTTAAACTAATTACATTTGTATTAATTTTTACTATAAAAAATATACTTAATTTATTTGAAATAAACTGATGTTTTGCTAGAGATAGTTAAATCGACTAATCGTCTAGAATGGCCGACGACGAGAATACCAGTATTTATTATTCATTAGGGTAACTTTTTAGCAAGTCATTTTGTTTTGCATGAACAAATTTCTTGAATACTTGGCTTTGTTCTCGAAAGGACGGAAGATTGATTCCATCGCCCTTCAATCACATTTATGCATTTTTTACAATGCACAGTGGCGGATGTTAGCGAGCTGGAATATTGGAATGCAACTTCATTTTGTTGTGCTCTTCAAATACATTCAAAAGTTTTTCTCGCGAAATGTTTATTCTATTACCGATTGCACATGCAATCGGTAATAGAATAAACATTTCGTATTCAAAATACATTTGCTTAGGAACGAACAATTCTCATCAAAACAATGAAATAAATGGCTATAATAAAATGAGCCCTCTGGCTGGGAGCACGCGTAACTTTTCATTGCATCTTGACCGAAATTACTGACAAAGATGCAATTTAAATAAGTTTGTGTTTTTAATGTTTTGATAGATATCTAATCCAAAGAATTTCTTTCAACTAAACCAATTATAGGTATTTTTGAACTGTCAACAGGCGTCATTACCAAATGGTAATACATACATAAAAATGTTATCAAATAATACACAAACAATAACAATATGCGCTTAAGTATCAAAACATGCAAAGTTAGATTTAAGCGGGATTTTACCGTTAAATTATTTATAATTTTAAATTTCAGAATTATGCGGAAATGGCACAACCTTGCCAAACGGGTCGACAATCTACGTAAGGAAGTAAACATAGCTCTAGTTGGAAAATATACAAAGTTAGAAGACAGCTATGCCAGCGTCACTAAAGCTCTCCAACATGCTTGCATTGCAACATATTCCCGACTTAATCTGACTTATATTGAAGCAGTTAATTTGGAGCGACAAACTAAGATAGATGATCCAGTTAGTTATCACAAGGCCTGGCAGGATTTATGCAAAAGCGAGTAAGTAACATTAGTTGATTTAAATTTGCCCAATATGCTAACTGTATAGAGAGCTTCTTCCTTGTGTGGGAACCTCCTTATACCACTTGCCACATAGATTAGAGCATGGTCTAACTCTAAGGTGGTAGTTTACTGTGCTAAAACATCATGACGTTTAGAAAGACAATAAGAACATGTTAGGTTTAAGCGGTCGCCACGCCGCTTCCCTACTACGCTGAGTGTTGTGGGTTCGATTCCCACATTGGACAACACTTTGTGTGGTCCACAAATTTTTGTTCTGAGTCTAGGTGTTCTTTGTGTCCGTTTCATGTATGTTGGTATATTCCCCCGCGACTCAGGATATATTCCTAATTCGGAGTAGTCTTTAAAAAAAAACTTAATGCTAGGCTTAAGCGAAAATATATTTTTACGTGTAGGTACCTCACGTGCCATTCGAATAGGACCTGGTTCAGCGTTTGCTTGACCTTTTAATGAGTGACGGACCAAATCAGCCTATGTTTACCACACTAGACCATATATTAAGACGTGATTTTAGCAATCATTAAGACCGTAATATTATAACATACGTAAATACACTCACGCATGAACTCTAAAGGATTAGTAGAGGAAATTTAAAACCCACACCCATTTTGGCTCTACTTTGTAACGGGGGAATCTATTTTTGCCAACCGGGTCTTTTTATGATAAACCGATGAGAAAATTTAGAGTATATCGATAGGGAAAAATTAAACAGGAGGTGAAGACATAAAAAGAAGACAGATAAGACGTAGACGTAAGACGTAAGACGAAGACAGATAAGACGACGAGATGCAATACTGACCTTGCAGCGGTGCAACGCGTCGGCGGCCAAGTGGGCCTCTTTCCGATGCGCAGAAATTACCCCTCGGATAGGTTATAGCTAAAATATCATTTTGCTGCGCTTCTCGCGCGAACTTCGTTGACGCAGAGTTATATGGCGCGTACTATATATGTTTGTATGTGTATGTATGCCTAAATTTTTATATATTAGTTTAACACCAGACGGGTTGGTATAGGGTTTGTTTACTTAATAACAGCTGTTCCCGGATCCCTCCTATTACAGGCGCAGAGTGGCACACCGTGTGGTTTTAGTCGGTCCGAGTCCGACACACCACCCCGCCGCAAACCCCGGTGGGGTGACGGTCCGAGGGGATTTCCACACGTAAAAAAAAAAGGGTTTGTTTCAAATTTTCCTTCTCTTTGCAGTGCTGCTGCTGTTGTGCTAGCATTGTGTAATTGATGTGCAATAAAGTATATTCTACTAGCATTTGCCCTCGGTTCCGACCGCGTAAATGTCGGTTATCGCTTTAAAAAGTAGAAAAAAAAAACGAAGACGTTTGTGGTGAACATATGGTTCAAGCCAGTGAAAACCACTGTAATGATTAAGAATGTCGAGCCAAATCTTGTAGATACAAAGATATTTTTTAGGAATAACATGAGATTCTAAGCTACAGTGGGGCCCACATATAGAAAAATTATCGAGTGGACTCAGCTCAGCAGCGTACGCAGTGAGAAAAATTCGAAGAATTGACTGATAATGACCCAGCACGACTTGTTTACTTCAGTTATTTTCATAGCATTATGTCGTACGGTATTCTACTGTGAGGGATCGCTGCCGACATTCAAACTGTTTTTGTGCTGCAAAAGACAGCGATTCGAGCAATTTATAATTTAGGCAATAGTTGTTCATTGAGTCAAAAATTTAAAGAAATAAACATAATGATAGTGTTGTGGCAATACTGTCATAATGTTTATTTCGGTTAATTTTTCAATAGATATATGAAAATGTGATATGGTCATAAAAACAATGATAGCGTCTTAAAAAGAAGTGATGTACATGCTTTAAATACCAGAAATAGACATAAACTTGTTGTACCTGTCTTTAGGCTCCAAAAGATAAACAAGTCATTTCGAGGTCAATGTGTCCGATTCTATATTAAAATCGCAAATAGTATATAAGATTTTAGTATACACAAGTTAAAATCAAGAATAAAACGTAAACTATGTAAGAAAGCCTATAACTCAATTGTTGATTACATAGGAGACAGGCTATTTCGTTGTGGAAATGTGAGGTGGGCTAGTGTGTCTTTTATTTAATTTTTCATTTTTTTTATGTTTTATTACACTTTCTTTTTTAATCCATCTTTTTTCTATATCTTGTTTTCTCTGCATTGCCTTTTACCTTTGAGTCCCTTAAAACTTACATACTGGCACACATCAAAAAAATGTTGCGTTTATTCAATGATGCCATTGTTATCTATTGATATGATATATGATAGATCGTCACGGGCATATAAGAGAATTTTGATATGTATCATTTAGTTTGCTAAATATTTGACAAAACAGAGATTGTTGCTATTGTGTGTGTAGTCTACACAAGAGACGATTTCTTTTTTTTTTATGAAGTAGAGATTTCAGTTTGAGCATTTGTGGTGTTTCCTCAAGAAAGAATCTCCATTAGAAACTTCATCTAAATCGGTTCAGCGGTTTTTGATTCTCTATACAAACTTTCACCCCTTTGAAGTATGATTTCTGGGATATTTACTACCCTATGTCCTTTCCAAGGACTCGGATTATCTCTATACCAAGTTTCATCTAAAAGTAAGAGGTAAACAGACAGACACACTTTCGCTTTTGTAATATTAGAATGGATTCTATGGATTGCAAACTAAGCAATATTTCGAAATAGTCAGGGTTGCATCTAACTTTAATAAATTTTACATTATTTTAATTCGTATATATTTTCAGTGGTGTTATAGTCCCAGGGGGATTCGGACAGAGAGGTATGGAAGGTAAAATAGAAGCTTGCCAATGGTGTCGTGAAACACAAAAGCCTATGCTGGGTATCTGCCTTGGCCTCCAAGCGGCAGTCATAGAATTTGCTAGAAATGTCTTATCGCTTAAAGGCGCCAACAGCACAGAGGTGGACCCAAACTGTGATGACAAACTTGTCATAGATATGCCTGAACATCATCCAGGGAACCTTGGCGGAACAATGCGATTAGGAAAGAGGAAGACGTATTTGGAATCCAGTTTAATAAGTAAGTATTTTACCTAAATACATTTTTAGTACTTACTATTTTTTACACTCCGTGTGGTGTAAACTATGCAGGTCAACAGCAAGGACAAAGAGAACTTGAAACAAATGTTATACCACCACTTCTGGCCAGTGTAGTATAGTAGAACAAAACCTCCTTTCTAAGGATAGGCCTATATCCAGCTATTTACTATACCTATTAATATTTAGCTGTTATGTATGTATGTATTTATTTATATTATCTATGTGTATTGCTGACAAAGTGCGTATAATTAAAACTACTTTTTTTACTTTTATGTATGTTGTACAAATATTTTATGATTGTTTTACACGCTAAGACTACCTATGAATGTGACCCCTACTCTTACGAGATTACTCTCTAGCGATAAGACCATACACACTCATCTTAAGTTTTCTTGTAAAAAAAAATGTTGGTGTACAATATTTTTTTTCTAGTCTACTCGATCTATTCTATACAAAGTGTTTGTACCATATTTTAGCACAACTTTACAAGAAAGACGTTATAGAAGAACGTCACAGACATCGTTATGAAGTAAACCCCGATTATATACAGCGTTTGGAAAAAGCTGGTCTTCGCTTCGTGGGTAAAGACGAGACCAAGACCAGAATGGAAGTAGCTGTGGTGGACAATCATCCCTACTACGTGACTGTGCAATTCCATCCGGAATATTTGTCTCGGCCATTATCTCCAAGCCCACCTTTCTTGGGGTAGGTATTTTCATAATTTATAAGCAACTGAACTAATTAGAATATTTATGTGGAATCTTCGTTCACATAGCTAAAGGAGAATCTTTTCAAAACATTTTCGTTCCAAAAGTGTTTTACGTAATAAACACAAGCCTCATGGTATGCTGGTGAACAATTAATAATAATAATTAAATTGAATGTTACGCTGATGGAATGACCTAACACATACACAGTGTACTTCAGAAAGACACTTAAATATGAATTAAACACTGAATATGGTAGATAGAAGTAGAGATTAGATGAATATAATTAAGGTTATTGTATGCACATTTTATTACTAAACTTATGTATGTAAATGTGATATTACTGTTAAGAATAATGTCAGAATTATTTTTGATATTATATTTTTATAAAGCTAAATTTTTTGAGGTAATTAAAATTTTGAATTATTTCTTAAATATGTTAATTGTAATTATTTCATGATATATTGTAATTTAATATAATATTATATTGTCATTTAATTATTTCTTAAAATATGTATAATTGTGTATCACTGATATGTCATGGTTTCAGTTGGTTTTCCTATACATTTTCTTTATGATAAAAAAGAAATGAATTTTTACAGACTGATTTTGGCTTCAATTGGAAAACTGAAAAGCTACATGTCAAAAGGCTGTCGTTTTAGTCCAAGAAACCAATCTGATGTTAGTTCAGGTAAGAATTATTATTTTTATTTCATTTTATTGCACAGAATTTGAGTGATTTACTGTTTTCGCGACTTCCGTGAGATAGACTACCAACATTAGAAATTTTTGAAATTTTCTTTATAAGTACCATTTACTGCTGTGATTAAATAAAACCTGCTCCTACATATTACAAAAATAATCACAATGACATTTGTGTTCCGTTTGGTTTTCCATCTTAAACATATTTTTTGAATTTTAGATGAGGAAGAAGATGAAACAAGTAGTAAATCTTCGCTGAGCTTGGAAGATGAGAAGACAGTTATTGAAAACGGCATATCTACCAAGCCAAAATTAAATGGTGTCAAAAAGTAATAATAATGTATTCGATTAATCATCGTCAATAAGACGACTACTTTCAGTCGATATTATTATTCCTTTTTGAATATGACGTCCCCACATCACTAGCTAATAACATAATAAAAAAGTATGTAATCGATTTATTATATTATGAAATTGTTACTGCATCTATTATGTATGGCATTATTCAACAGTATAAATTTATCATTTGATATAAAATCAAATAAAAAAGTTGGCTAAGAGTCCAGTACTGCCGGTTCAAAACATGTGTGGCGGTTTATTATCATTAGTGTGCTGGTTGAAGCAAGTTTAAAGTTTTAAACAAAATTTTCTCACTTCAATGTAGTGGTCTTGTGTCATTATGATTGTGTTGATGGTAGCACCATAAAGCATTGGTCATAGTTTGGATTTTAGGGAAAATGTAATATGCACAGGTACATATAAACATTCAATGTGAGAGTTATCTACGAGACACAAGAACATTACGTCCCAATACCAATTTAATAGGGATAATAAATATTAATATCAATGGATGTTATAACAATAAATTAGTAATGACTCAGGTCTTGAGAAATGGATATCCTACATATATGTATATTAATTTGTATATATATCGAGGTGCTTCAAAGAAAATATGTTTGAATGAAAAAAATTTAAAAGAATAAATAATTGTGTTAAAAAATCGTGTTGTGTGAAAAGAATAATTGTGTTATTTGATAATATCAATTTTTAATTTAAATCATTGTATCGAACTTTCTCAGTCCATGCCTAAGCAGAAATCATATACACACCTATAAGTTTCTTTATTGCCAATCTGGCAAACAAACATTGTTCACACTTTAATAGGATGTAAAAACTGACATAACCCAAAACACTCCCATTGTGTGCCAATAAAATTTATTTTACAATTAGTAAATGAACGAAAGTCCCAGTAAATTGGCTTAGGTAAAGTTAGTTAATAAAGTGTAAAGAAAGACCATTGAAATTAAATTGAAACTTGTCTTGATAAAACTAACTTTGATCTAATACACTTGATGATTTATGTTTGAATGAAATTAAGGAGATTGGAGATTGATGCGTTTTTTAATATTGTGATACCAACACGGGCTCTAACTACCAAAAGTAGTATGATTCGAACTTTTAAATATAATATAAATATATTATATTAATATCATTTTGTTGCATGTGATAAAAAATAAAAAGAGCTCAGCTCTTGATGTGTTTAGGTACCAAAACTTCTACTATGGCAGTGATACACATATGGCTTATTATAAGATGAATCAACAGGCATTATCATGTCCCGAGGTCGAGCTACAAGATACTTCTCACCTACTCACTTATTTCCATCAAGCGCTTCCAAATCTGTTTCACAAATAATATTAAGCTATACAGAATGTAAGTTTAAAAAGCAAAAATATTTTTCCTCGATGTATAATGCAACCAGTTACATAGTGCTTTTATTGTCCCAGTTATCTACACTCCCAGGTTAACGGAGTTAAGCTAGTAAGAAAATGATAGTTTGAACAAGTAACGAGTGTTTAAGTTAACAAGTTTAAGTAACAAACCTACTTACCATTATGTACTTACTGATACCTTGAAGTGAGCCTATTTAGATATGTATTTACATATGTTTAAGAAATACATGATTCTGATTCTAAAAATAAAAAAGACATGTTTTGCTTTTGACTTAAGAAATAAAACCATATTACATCACCATTTTAAGTTGTTCTACTGGCTACTTTGGAGTTCGCCAATATGTACAATTTAAGTTAAATATATAACAAATATGACCCTAAAAAGTTTATTTTAACTAAATATTATAGGCTTCGATATATTTTGTGTATTTATTTTACCTTTCCTTTGTATGTTGTTGGAGATGGAAAAATAATGCATAATACAAGCTTATAATCTATATCGTAAGTACGTAATAAATGTACTCAATAGTTTAGTATAGTTATATTTCACTTGCATGGTCAACAGATAAAATTCTACCTTATATTTGAACATGGCCATCCACCATACATAAGATATACGCTAATAATCCTGACCTGCAGGGTTCATAATCTATATTGTGTAATTTCATAATAACATTATGTAAACATTTAAAAATAAATGTGTCTTTAGAAAAACGTTATATCTGAATGTAAATGTTATAACAAGTAAGTTGTCACTAATATGGTAGGTATATGTTCTAACTTTTTAAGCATCAATTAGTTTTGTTTTAATACTTTAATTTGTATAATAATTTAAAACATAAGATCTTTGATTGTTTAGTAATAAAACTAATAACATTTTTAGTGATAAACTCATACCTTGTCTAAGCATGTTCTAATAGGAATGATAATTTGTATATTTAATGTAGCCAGACAGACATTTCATTCAATGTTTCCTTCCAACGTAACAGTACTCGTTACTGTTTTTGTACTTACAAATACTTATTGTTTGATAATATAAAATAGTGCTGCAGAAGATGACTCCAAATACATTTCAATTAAAATTCACATGCATCAAATTCTTAAATCATAATTTGTTATGTACACGGTGTGTACATGAGAAGACAAGCAGTTAATTTTTTTGCACTATTTCGATAATAGTGAAGTGTGAAATATATAAAATACGGTACTCAAACATGACATTACATCATTTTTATATGTAGTTAGTAAGTGTAAAAAATATTTTCTGGTTTAAAATGTAAGCATAATATTTTTTTATATTATCTTTGGACATAATAACTTGTATTTCATGTTTACTCGAATATGTTGAGCTCACTGCCCTTATTGTCCATTTAGCTATTAAATTTATGTACTTTAATAAAATATCTATACTATTTTCCGTGGCGGTCATTTTATAAGATTTAATACAAACTCTTAACTGTGTCTTACGTTTTTTTTGTAATATATATTAAAATGTTAATTTTTATGTATTTAATATTAATTTAATTATAATTGATCTTAATGTATGGATTTAAGGTCTTGTTTTAAAATGTGATCGAAAGTTATATAAAATATAACATTACTTAAATGTATATAAACAGTTATATTATTATAGGCTAATAGTGATGATATTCTAATTCTCCCGTATATAGGTATAAAATTATCATAAAATATCTTTGTATTTCATCCTGACTAATATTATAATTGCGAAAATGTGTTTGTTTATCTACTCAACCAACATAAAAGTTTGCACGCATGTCAGGTACAGAAAAAGACAAATATTATGAAACTTTTTATTTAGAAAAAAAGTGCTGCTCCTGATATATACTTATCTGAATTGATTGACAATCTACATTCATGTGCGCCAAGTCGCGTTCAAAAGTTACGTTGTTAACATAAAAAAATAAAATTATAAAACTAATTAATGTAACTAATTACTGAACTTTTTCTTCTCTTCACTTTATCTGTAAAAGAACCCCGATTGTGGTAGCTTATAGCCGCAATTAATAATTGCTGTACTCTTTACTATTATAGTATAACAGTAGTACTATTTTTGTTGCGTAATGTGTGACGCATATTTTATTACAGAACTATTATAAGTATGTATCGATATATTCTTTATATTTATAAATATAAATCCATGTACTTCAATAAAACTAGTACTTATACTTAATTATACATGTTACAAGAAGCAGTTTGAAGCATAAAAATCATTCCCTTACAGTTTACTTAAGAGTAGTTGGTTAACTGTTTCAACTATAATATTGTTAATAAATAAAATTAATAAAGTTTTTGCTCTATCCAGAATAAAGCTGTTTTATTTTCGAGACAATGATTTTACTTGTGAGGTCTTTTTCGAACGAGTAGTAATTTACGTGTAAGAATATTCGTAAACTTAATCCACAGAGTACTAGGTTCTAATTGAACTCCAGCACGGTGCACCCCGCTTGCTTTACACCAACCGATGAATTTCATTAATTCTTAGACTGAGTATGGGGATTACCGCGTGCTTTATATCGACTGAAATATCGATGGCGCACTTTCTTTAGTCGTAACCTCGTATTCAGGGACTTGTCGCATGTAGTATGACGTCTGAGTTAACGATCAATAAAACCGATCCTTTAGCATGACACACAAAAGTTCAATTCCAAGTCGACTGACACTGGTTTGGCCATCAATCATGGATTTTAATTTTGATATGGCAAAAAATTGTCGAACTTTGTCGCCAAATATCAGAATTTCAGGTCTTTCAGGTCACTGGTTCAAAAGTTATAACCGTTTATAGGTGGCCCTGTTGAGTTCAGTCTCTCCAGTTTGGCCACGCTTGTATCTCAAAAACTAAGGCACCTAGCGAAGATACCCTAACAATGATTCTGACAAAAAACCTAAAATTGCATTGGTACAAAATTGGACCAATGAATATAAAAAGTTAGACATAAAATATTAATATTTTTATGTCATAATCCCTGATGGTGTTCAAGAAATAACTAATTTATTTTGAGAGTGTATTTTAACACATTTTTAAAAAAGGAGTACCTGTTGTCAATTTTGACATCTATGACAGCACTAGAATAATGTTGCTAGTAACTGTACTAAAGATACAATTGTGGGTAAATTAGTAAAAAACAACACAATACTACCAAAAAATTAAAACAAAATAAAAGACATTATATACATTTCTGTAACAATCCACACTAATCGGAATGTAATACGAGTACAACGTGTATTTAGAGTGATTACTTTTAAAATGATAATTGATAAATTTGGTTTACAACTACAGAACCGAACAAAACTATAATGGTAACCTTAACTATTTTATTAACAAGGAATTCATGGTGAGAAAAACGTTTTCAAATTAAATTATTTAAATTATTAACAGAAAAAAGTTTATTGGAACTTGATTTTGAATGAGGCTTATTAATAAAAAAAACATGTAAACAAGGTGGTAAACTGGGTTCATGATTTTGCAATACCAAGATATTATTGCGCTGCGGACTGCGTTAAACTCTGAAAACATATTTTAATTTTTTGAATCGGTCTACCGTGCGTTATGATATCGAACTTTCTTTACATTTGAATGTGAAAAAACTGGCAAATACTCGCGTGTATTGTTTAAATTCTAGCAATAATGTGTTACAGCCAGACCATGACATGAGTGACGAAATTTTAGTTTTCTTTAATAAGAAATAAGTACAGCACCATGGTGTTCGAAACGATAGTGGTGGACGTCCTAAACAGATTCTTAGGGGATTATGTGGAGAACCTGAACCGTTCTCAGTTAAAACTAGGAATATGGGGCGGTGAGTTTTGCGCCAGAGTGATGTCATAGTTGCCGCACTACTGTGATTGCGGTTATTTATGCCTTCGATAAATGTTTTGCAGGCGACGTGGTGTTGGAAAATCTGGTGCTAAAGCAGAATGCCTTGGAGGAATTAAATATTCCTGTTCAGACAGTGTATGGACACCTGGGTAAGTAATATTTTATCCTGAAAAAAAATCCAAATAATATTAGCAACTATAAAAATCGTTTATTAGTTACATTAGTTTGAAGAGTATTTCTGTCCTTTTCCACATGTGAGTAGCCTTGTTCTTTTATTGTTTTCTAAGAGAACCAGGTCAAGGCTAATTAGCACAATTTGAGATCTAAGAAATTAAATATGTCAGTGGATGGAATAAATTATATGTTTTACCTCCCAAAGTATATCTGGATATCACTAACTAAAGGATGTGTTTTTATTATTATTATTACATGATGTCTACTTATATAGCAGCTTTTTTATTTTATATACCTAGTTCATTTCTGTGTCTTCTAATTTTATTCACCTGTTAATTCCTTGCATTAAGTGGATGTTTTTTAATCTCTTTGTTCTTCTCTTTGTGTCTTTTTGTGTTAAACCCATATACCTGTTCGGTTCACTTTGTGACTTTCAAGTAAAAGAAAATAGTATTTTTTCAACATTACAAGAGCCATATTATTAATTTTAAATAAGGAATGGATGGATTAAATAAATAATAAAGAATAAAATAAATGTTAACTTCATTTGAAAAAAAGGCCTAAAAATAAATGAAATTCATTGAATGATCTCAATTATAAAAATAAGTTTGTTTATTACTGTACATTTTATTTATCTATCTCCCAAGGTGATAGAATACATGGAATAAACTTTTAAAATATTATGTTAAATACTCTTAAATTAATATTAAACTTTTTAGAATTCCAAAATATCTATCTGTGTAACATTATTCAATAACTGTTCCAATAAAATAGGCTACTTTTTTATTGTAGTGTCTAGTTTTTGTTATGGGATGATAAAGTTTGTAAGGTAAATATCTTACATGCAACACCTGCAACTTAAGAGTCACAAGTGAGTTGCCAACCTTTGAATCCTTCCTCCAGACTCAGGGGTAGGTTAGGTTTGGGCTCCAGGTATCTGACTCACTCAGTTAAAAGTAATAAAAGAATTGTTTAACACAAGTTGTATGTGAGGCCATCATATCACTTTTCTTTTTTTTTTTTTTAAAGAACTCCTACACTAGGAATCTAATACTGTGTCGCAGGGAACTTGACAAACATACATGAAACGGACATAAAGAACACCCAGAGTCAGAACAAACATTTGTGGATAACACAAAGAGGCGAGGTGAGCTCTTAAATAACTATGCCATCCATGAAGTGATCACTCCAGTGAAGCCAGCCTATTTGTGCCGAAGTATGGCTCTCCCAAATACAATAAAAATATAATCTTACATTTGAATTAAAAAAAAATGCTGGCTTTTACGCAAAGCAAATGTCACTGAGCATTATAACTATATTTACTCAGTTTAAAGTGGGTAATGATGCATGTAATAATCTAGGTAGTCTTCAACTGTGTTTTGTGAATTAAATACTTGTGTGATGCATCATAAGGTTTATGTTATATGACATGTATAAAACACAACAAAAAATAAGTACTAAAAAATAAATAGTATAAGATTGAAATAATATAAAATGGTGTTAAAGTACCTATATGTTCAAAAAAACTTATTAGCTACAAAACTATTTACTTTCAAGAAGGGCGCAACAAAAGAGGCCACTACCCATAGGTGGCCCATGCTTTGGCACAATTGGGCCGACTAGACTGGAGTGATACCACAGCCTCACAGAAAACCAGAGTTAAGCAATTCTTTCCTGAATATTGAAGCCGAAGGTTCCTTTTAATCGAAAAAGGGGTCTTTGGGATTATCGAAAATCGTATAAATATTACTCGAAAAAGAGGTTAATCGTCGAATCTAACTTGGCTTGGTAGCGTGCGCGAAGCTGCGTTACATTTTATCGTTCCCAATACCGCAGTGTCTCAAGACAAAAGTCTTTGACTAATCTGTATTGCCAGTGATGCCTTATGGCACAGAGACGTGGTCGCTTACAATGGGCCTCTTAAGAAGGCTCAAAGTCACCCAAAGAGCTATGTAGAGGGCAATGCTCGGGTTTCTCTGCGTGATGGAATCAGGAATGAAGAGATCCGCGGACGAGCTCCTATGCTAGTTACTTAAGCTCTCATAGCTGTTTAAATACGTCATTGATACTGGTACCACACCGAAGGGATGGAACAGGAGCGTTGTAGTACTGTTCTTCAAAAAGGCGTCACAAGCCTACTGAAGAGCTACAATGTATACAAGTTGTTTAGTTAGGGTCATTACAAATCGTCTTGCCTAAAAATTTGATAACTTCTAGCCCGTTGAGCAGGCTGGGTTTCAAAAAGGCTTCGGCACCGTAGACTGCATACACACATTAAGGCAAATTACTGAGAAGATAGAGGAGTATAACCAGCCCATTTGCCCAGCGAATGTGGACTACGAGAAGGCCTTCGACACCATCGACACCTGGGCTGTCCCGGAATCTATGCAGAGATGCCTGGGCTTCAATTCTGCTAATTTGTATTAACATACAAGCCAGTGTCATTCCATTGCCACGATATTGAGACGACATTGTTATCGATCAAAGCATCGGTATTCTACTAACATAAATTCACAGTGCCAATAGACTTTGGATGTGGACTGCTTACCAATGCATTGCCCCCAATGGTTGGGGGCATAATAGGAGGTTTCATCATATCTCCGAGTCACTGATCCCCCAATCGCTAAAAGCCAAGGCGATCTCTATGTTGATGATCTAATGTTGTATACTGAATATAATAGTAGTATACCTTACATGCATAGTTATTAGTATTTAGATCACGTACTACCCAATTATGCAAGGTTACTGTACCACTAGACTTATCTTGCATATCAGACCGGGCGGGATTCCTGTTACAATTGTTTGTCTGTAATAAACCTATATGTAATGACATCATTATCTCCCAATTGACCCATGATTCATGTCGAGTTTGAAGGTTAGCGATTTTGAATCAACCTTCATTACATAACAATTACACCACAAATGTGCGAATGTCTTGAATTAGAGCAAAATGTTTTTTAAGTTCCACTGTTTTCATCATTTGACTGCCTCGGTAGCGCAGTGGTAGTTTATGCGACTGCTGTGCTGAGGTCTCGGGTTGGATTCCCGGGTCTACAAATATTTGTTTCGGAGTTTGGGTGTTCTCTATGTATAATATGTATGTATTTACATAAATAGAAGTATAAAAGTATTCTATCAGGTCAATCTAGCTTTCAGTGTTTTTTTTTTTTTTTTGTATAATGTTAGACTAACCGATTCCAAAAAACAAAGAAGCTTCTCAATACGATTGCATTTTGTTTTTAAGTTGGTTATTTCAGAATTTCGTTATTTATGGACCGAATTCTGAAAATATTTCATTATGCTGTAGGCGCATTGAAGTCGGTTATACTACTTTATAAGTAGGTATTTATTTTCCAAAATAAAAACTTACCAAACGGTAAAACCAGTAAAGATAAAAGGTTACCGCTCGCATTTACTACATCAATAAATTAGGTCATGGTGTCTCACATTACAAAATATAGGGTAAATATTATGTTCGTTATTTAATGTTCCTAGATTAGTAAATGTACCTACTTATTTAGTCTTTATTGAATTACTTTTACCTTTCTATTATAAGAAAATGATTTGACGGTGAAAGTAATTGGTAACTTATAAGTACATTTATAAAGTCCTTTGTAATCTCTTATCTCTTTTCAATTTACGGCTTTTAATGTAAACAGTTATCTAAAATTACTTATCAGCGTCCACTCATATTGTGTTAGGTAGTATTAAAAGTGATAAACACTAACACAACCTTGTGATCTAATTCAGGCTGTTGACTAATTTTTTACGTATATATACTACATATATGTACATTTTGAAGTGTTAGTCGAGCGGAATAAACGGACTTATCTAAACAGTGTAACCGATATCAGACACGTAAATAGAATGTTGAGACTAAAATCAACAGCTCTTTGCGATTTTGGCTACCATTTCACACCTTTTTTTTTTTTTTTCTGTGCCGAAATCCACACTTACCGGTAGTACCGCCGTCTCAGGTATCAGTAGTCGGGGTATCACGTGTACCCTAGAAAGGAAATCCCTGGTGCCCCGAAGCACCTCGGGCTATCTACGGCGGGTAGACGACCCCCCCTGTGTGGGAACCTCCATGTTCCCCCTGTGCTCCCGGAAGGGCGCGCGCGCCTCGCAGCGCGCTCGCCGCCACGCCGGTTTGCTTCTGCTAGGGTGACAGATGGCCTCACCTGTCACTGCCAGGCCTGCGCTTATGGAGGACGGAGGTCGTTCTGCGACCTCCGGCGCCTGAGTTGTCTGCGGTACCTGGCCCGTTCCCGAGCCTGGCGGGCTGGGAGAGTTCTAAACCTCTCCCGGTCCCGCTCCGCCATCTTCTTCGCAACCATAACTTGCTCGCAGAAGGAGACGGCAGATTTCCACGCACTCTTGCTCAACACGATAGCCGCAATCAGGTTATCGAGCGAGAGATACAATTTCACATCTGGTGAAAAGCCTAAATGTAAGGGGTTTCTGGTTCCTATAGAAATTTGTAACACTAATAGTGTTACTTTTTTTTTCCTTTCTAAGGAGAGGCCTATGTCCAGCAGTGAACTGTTATGGGTTGTTGATGATGATGATGAATAGTGTTCCCCTTTTGTTGCGTGCGGCTTAAGAGATGCTAGACGAAAACTGTTTCTTTTTTCGAGCACAAATCTGTTGCACCTTTTATGCTTAAATGTCCACTTCCCTAAAAGAGGGTGGAGTGTCTCGAGAAACTTGTAAATTCTTTAGTTCTATAAACTGTTAATCCAGCATTGGTGATTCATTTTCGTTCAACTTGCTTTGTTTGTTTTTTTATTTTAATTTGTTAAAGGAGTTTTTCCTTGCCGCTCCAATGATTAACCACATACCTTCGTCATTCCAAACCGCTTCTCAGGACTCCAGAGATTAAAACAAAAAGTATCCGTCCGCTATTACTCAAAGAAACATAATGTCCCAAAAAGTAGGCCAGTAGGAGTAAGGAAAGGGGTTTTCGCCAATGACG